TCATTTCCTCCAGGCCACTCTTACAATGGTAGAAATACATAGGCAAAACTCATTGTTTTAAGTTCTTATAAACCTTTTTTTCCCCCCAGGTGCAATGACACACAGCTGTAATCCAGGTGGCTCGGGAGGCTGAGACAGAAGGATTAGCAAGTTTAAAGCCAGCCTCAGAAACAAGACACTAAGCAATTCAGTGAGACCCTGTCTCTAAATAAAATATAAAATAGGGCTGGGGATGTGGCTCAGTGGTTGAGTGCCCCTGARTTCAATCCCTAATACCCAGAAAATAAAAAAATAAAATAAAATAAAGGACTGGGGATGTAGTTCAGTGTTTAAGCACCCCTGGGTTTAATCCAAACAAACAAATGAACAAACTCCTAGGCTCAAGTGGTCCTCCTGCCTCAGCCTCTCAAATTCCACGTAGCTGGGACTACAGATATACAACATTAATCAGTATTCAATTTTTTTTCCCTGTTTTTATGGAGCTGGTGACCAAACCCGGTGGCCTAGCACATGTCAGACAAGCACTTTACCACTTAGCTCCCTCTGTAGCCATATTTCTCAATTTTTAGAATTTGCTTTTCAAACAAATTAAGAAAGTATATCACACTCTATCACTGAGTCACATCCCCTGCCAAAAGAAAGTTTAAAGACTTTGGAGATGATAACCTTCTAATAATGAAGTTCATTTTATTCCTTTTTTTTTTTTTTTTTTTTGACTGGGGCAGTACTGGTGATTGATCCAGGGGATGCTTTATCACTGACTTACATCTCCAGTTCTTTTTTCTGAGACAGGCTCCTGCTAAATTGTCTCAGCCCCCTGGGTCACAGCCCCATGGTTATAGGCATGCATTGTCATGCTGTCTTATTCCTTCCTTTTTTTTTTTTTTTTTTTTTTGGTACTGGGAATTGAAACCAGGCATGCTTAACCACTGAACCACATCCCCAACCCTTTTTGTGTTTTATTTAGAGTCAGGGTCTCACTGAGTTGTTTATTGTCTTGTCATTGCTGAGGCTGGCTTTGAACTCGAAATCCTCCTGCTTCAGCTTCCTGTGCAGCTGGGATTGCAGGCAAGTGCCACTGCACCCAGCTATTCCTTGCATTTTAATTTAAACTACAGAACTTTGTAATCTAAATAATTCTTTAGGAACAACCAATAATTTTGTGGTTTTTGTTCTTTTTGGCACTTTGGGATTGAACCCAGGGGTTCTCTACCACTGACTTTCATCCCAGTCCTTTTTATTTTGAGACAGTGTCTTGCTAAGTTGCTGAGGGCCTTGCTAAATTACTGAGGCTGGCATTGAACTTGTGATTCTCCTGACTCAGACTCCTGAGTTGTTGGAGTAATAGACATGTGACATTACATCCAGCGAGTGCTCTACCGTTGAGCCACAATCCCAGCCCCTCCAGCATGGTATTTTTTTTTTAATATTTATTTATGTATCTTTAGTTTTAGGTGGATACATTAGTTTGTTTTTATGTGGTGCTGAGGATCGAATCCAGTGCCTCATACATGCTAGGCAAGCACTCTACCATTGAGCCACCACCCCAGCCCCCAACATGGTATTTTTGCAGTCATTTAATAGCTCTGAAAAGTTCCTGGCTTAAAAATATTTTCCAAAATTTTCAATTCAATGTCATAGTCAGGTTTTGTCTCCCTTTCTAGTAGTACTGAGGACTTATCCTACTTCCTCAAGACTTCCATAAATGGCATATAAGAAATTACTGAAAAAAGAAAAGGGAAGTAGACAATCTCTAATACAGCTTTTTTTTTTTTTAAAGCTGGAGAGAGAGAGAGAGAGAGAATTTTTTAATATTTATTTTTTAGTTATCGGCGGATACAACATCTTTGTTTGTATGTGGTGCTGAGGATCGAACCTGGGCCACACGCATGCCAGGCGAGCGCGCTACCACTTGAGCCACATCCCCAGCCCTCTAATACAGCTTTTGAACTAATGTTGGCAACCAAATTTCTTTTTCCATAAATAACAGGCCTAATGGTAGTGTTTATCATTTGATAATATTTTTAATAGTTTCAAAGAATTTCACAGAAAAGGACTTGCCAGGGTTGGATTCCTAGATCCATCATCACTTAGTGAATTGGATTCACTCTTGCTTGTGCTGGGCAAGCACTCTATTATACCCAGAACCCTTATACCAGCTGGGTGTTAACTCTTATCTGCAGGGGAGTAATTGCTATGTGATTATTCAAAGTAGTTTTAATTCCACATTTACTTTACTCTGATATCTACTTAAATGCCAAAAGGTTTCTGTTATCAGTGTGAGACACATGTCCCATGCTGGGCCCAGTGGCACAKGCCTAGAAACCCAGAACTTGGGAGGTTGAGTTCTGGAGGATAGCAAGTGTGAGGCCAGTCTCAGCAATTAGCGAGACCCTCAGCAATTTATAGAGATCTTGTCTCAAAATAAAAAAATAAGGTCACAGCAGTGAAAAAGCGAAAACATTTACATTTCCTTAATGACTATATGTTGAACATCTTTTCATGTGATTACTATGTCTATATCTTTAAATAAAAGTCTGTTCAAATATTCACACATTTAAAAAWTTTTTTTTTAGTTGTAGATGGACACAATACTTTTATTTTGTTTATTTTAATGTGGTGCCAGGATCCAACCCAGTGCCTCATGCATGCTTGGCAAGCGCTCTACCACTGGGCCGCAACCCCAGCCCAAATATTCACACATTTTTTAAAAAATACAAAAATGAAAAGGGATGGGGATGTAGCTTAGTGGTAAAGTACCCCAGGGTTCAATCCCTGGTAGGAAAAAAAAAGAGAGAAGAAAGAAAGAAAGAAAAAATAATAATAAAATAATAATAAAGATATATATCCTAAAGAGGAGCAAATTGATTTCAATTAGCTAAAACTGAATAGAAAAATAGTAAATTTGCTCAAATGACCTACCAGACCTTCACTGGGCCAGTTCCCCTTCTACCATCTGTCCTTAAATCTGAACATAGCTCATGTTTATCCTCCTTCATAGCCATAGGAAGAGGTTCCTAACAGATTTCTCTGGGTTATAACACTTGAGTGTTAAGTGCTCTCAGGCATTTTGCCTCTGCTCCCMAAACTCTAAGCATTTAAGGCAAGTTTGAGGTTTCTCTGCCTCCTTTCTGGCTTCAGATCCCCTTCGGCTCTTTTAGTAGTCTGTACTCACTCAGGTCAACTGGCCTAATCCTTACCCTCTGAGCCTACATTGCCAGTTTCAGAAATTCCCTCTGCTCTCTCCAAACCCCCCTCCTGTAACATATACCCTTATGTCTATTTTGTTCTTTTTGTTCTTTCTTTAAATTGGTACTAGGGATTGAACCTAGAGGTGCTTTACCACTGAGCTACAACCATAGGCAGGAACTGGGTCTTATTTGCCTTATTTTTCTTTGATGGCAGGAACTGTTAGACAAGTGAATGGAGACCCTCCTATGCCATTTATGCATAGCAAGTCCTCCTTACTTTTCCCTCTAGGAAGAGGGCTGTATGTTTATGTGGTCAGGGTTGAGTGGAAAAAAGCATTTAGGACATTGTATCTTATCCAGGAACAAATTAGGATGTGATAAACTCACAAATGCAGGTAATATGCTACATGAGGGGCAAGTTTTTCACTAACCCTCCACTCTGGCCTAATGAATGGAGTTTGATAGTAATCCTTGCTAAAATTATAAAGCTAATGCACAACAACTTTGAGAAAGATGAGAACATTTGAAAAGTGGCTTGTTTTTTTCTGCCTTTCTTCATATTTCTTGCTGAACTTGGGCTGCTCTTGCATTACTTGGCCTTTCTGTTTTCAGACTGAATTGATGAGTCTTACTATAAGATTCTAAATAAGGAACTCACTCTGTGGGTTTGATGTGGTGGATGCTGGCCCAAGAAATTATGTACATGCTTAGCAAAGTCTCTTGTGAACATCCATGGGAGGTCATGCCTGACCTCTACTTTTACAGAGATCCTAAAGTGATTGAAAAGAAACAGTCTGTTGCTGAAAAAGTTGTGACCACGGAAGAATTTCAGGGTGGATTGCTCCAGTTTTTGAGTTCACCGCTACTCAACCTGAGGTAGCAGACTGGTCTGAAAGCATCCAAGTACCCTTTGTGCTTATCCAGTAGTTCTCTGCTGAAGACTGAAGTGCCCAGTCAGCTACTGAAAACTGGTCTGCAATTACCACTACTAAGGAGTCTGAGTGGTATGAACAACACGAATGATCTGGAGATGTTCTTCTGCAAACACTTAAGCAAAATGAAAATTAAGCACCAGTTTCTTAAAAAAGAAGTTGCCTGGGCACCTCAAGTAGAGAACACATCTTGCCCTTTGTGGTTCCTTGTCTCCCTGACTAGGCAAGTTATCTGTGGGTAGAATACAGAATTTTGCCCAGGGGTAGATGATTTTTAGTTGTGGATGGGGTCAGACTGAGAGTACTATTAATGATTAGACCACCTCGTCTAGTCTCAATGTAGCTAGGACTTTCGAAAATCCCTGCAGCGCTGCCGGAGCAGGAATTGCGATCTCATGTTTGGTCAGCTAAAGAGGCCTCCAGCTGAAAAAGGAATGGCTTGAAGTGAAAATCGGAACACTTAGTTCCAGAGCTTCCCCTGCGTTTAATTAGGACCAGGCCGGGATGGAGTGCTTGAAAGGTCGCAGATCATGGTCTAAGACTCTTTCAGATTGCCAGGCTGGAAAGGACCTGGAAGACCTTAGCGGGCGCCATTCTGAGTCGAGGAAAGGGTACTTGACAGCTATACAGCGGCCGCTTACAAGGTTCCGCCTGCACGGCGGAGGAAGTTGGCTGCCACTTCTCACCTCCCGCCCCTTTTCCGTCTTCCTCTGGGCTGCACCGCGCGAGGGTGGGGGACAGGCGGCGCGTGGAGGCGGGGGAAAAATGGCAGAAGTTTGTTGTGCTCGAGGCAGCGACCTGAGGTGGGGTGGGCACGCGCACAGGCGTGCGTGCGTGCGTGGGCTCGTCCCATAGCACGCCGTGCGTGGGGCGGATGTCCGGGCCGGCTGGGCCGGGGTGGCGGGCGAGATGGCGGAAGGCCGAGGCTGCCGTGAGCGACCGGATGTAGAGACCCAGAAGTCTGAGCTCGGGGCTTTGATGAGGACCACGCTCCAACGAGGGGCGCAATGGTGAGCACCCGGCCACCCTTCCGTCGCGCAGAGTCTGGGGCCGCAACTCTGGCCCTCACGTCAAGCCTCCTTTTCTCCACTTGGGTAGGGGACGGACGGGGGCGGTGTCTGGTGACCCTGAGTGGCCTGATACTGGGTCTTCAGGAGTGGAATCTTGGGGTCAGCTGAGGAACAGCATGGGAGGTGCTGGGTGTTGTCCTGACCCATTCATAGCTCCAAGAATGTGACCGGCTCTGGCAAATGATGTAGGGTGTGGAAAAAGGAGAGTGCTAGCGGGGACCGTGAGAGTGGGAGAGCCCTTTACCATGAAAGAGTCGCCCTGTGACCTTGGCGAAGGTGTCCATACTTCACACACCTCTGTACCTTACAACTAAAACCAGGGTAGCAATTTTGTGGTTTATCACCCTCAGTAGGTTGAGATCAGAGGTAGAAACTTTGTAACTTGTAGATTGCTGAACACATGTCAAGGTCAGAAACTGAACAAATGTCTGAAAGGCCCAGATTATTTGGAAGCAAAGGTAAAAAATAATTGTGATAGTAAATTCTAGGGGTGGAAGAGGAAGGTAGCATGGATCCTGGAGCATGATAGAAGGTTAAAAGTCAAAGATGTAGAAGAGCAAGGCAGGTTTTTTAAGAAATTTAATTTTTTTCTCCAAATATTTCATATATTTATTAGCAAACCAACCAAAATCAGTACTCCAGCTTCTGTGACTCTCTCCAGATAGTGCAAACATTTTCAGGTGGACAGGAAAAAATGATCACAGCCTTGATAAATACATGTGCCATTTCATGTCATTCCTTATTAACTCAGTTTGGTTCTCCTCCAGTGTCTCCTCTTGGAATTGTACCTGATTTTATTACCAGTTTTCATTCGAAACCACTGGGGAATGGGACGATTTTGCTTTTTGGCCAAAAATTGCTCTTCCTGAAAGTCTTGTGAGAAGAGATGGTGAGGAACCAAATTCGGTGCTTGCACCACGTGGCTGAAAAAAGGCGAAGAGAGTTAACTTTATTTTTATTAAATTACTGGGGATTGAACCCAAGGCATGTGTTGTTGAGCTACATCCCCAGTTTTTTTTTTTTTTTTTTTGGTAACTGGGATTGAACCCAGGGGCCTTTAACCAGTGAGCCACATCACCAGTCCATTTTTTTTTAATATTTATTTTTTAGTTTTAGGTGGGCACAGTRTCTTTATTTTACATTTATGTGGTGCTGAGGTTCGAACCCAGGGCCTCATGCATGCTAGGGGAGCACTCTAGCACTGAGCCACAATCCCAAGCCCCCCCCCCTTTTTTTTTGAGAGAGGGTCTTGCTAAATTACTGAGGCTGGGTTTGAATTTGTGATCCTCCTGCCACAGCCTTTTAGGCCAATGGGATACAGGTGTGTGTCAATATACTGGGTTTCCCCATCCCTTTTTAATTTTTTTTTTTTTAATCTGGTCTCCCTAGGTTGCATAGGCTGTCCTAGAATTTGAGATCCTCTTGCCTCAACCTCTGGATTTGCTGGGGTTACAGGCCTGTGTCATCAGGCCTGGCTGCTATGAACTTCTTAATAATTGTTTAGTAGAAGATACAATACTTTCCAGTAGTGGAGAGGCCTAGGTGGTGTTACTATGTGGAAGTAGAAAACTGGGGCTAGACTTTACATTAAATGTGATTGAAAAATATTCTTTTTTGACACTTGGGATTGAATACAAGGGCATTTTGTCACTGAGCTACATTCCCCAGCCATTTTTATTTTTTATTTTGAGACAAGGTCTTGCTAAGTTGCATAGGCTGGCTTTCAACTTGTGATTCTTCTGCCTCAGGTTCCCATTGTAATCGGGATTACAGGCATGGGTCACCGGGCCTAACTCATTCTAAGAAAACATTGTGGTGTTGATATATCTAGGAAGAGTTGAAGCAGGGAAGAGAAACATTGTGGTGAGGAGTTCAGGTATAGCTTTATTTATTCTGAACTTTCCAAATTGTGAAAGACAAGGCATGCAGAGGGACCTTTAAAGTTGTTCTGCAAAGAATGATACATAGAATATTCAGAAGAAGCAAAGGATTTGTTTTTTTTTTTTCTTGTTCTGGGGTTTACCCAAGCTAGGCAAGCACTCTACAAGTGAGTTATATCTCTAGCCCAAAAGAAGTTTAATAGATTAAAATCATTGGGTGTTGGGCTGGAGATATAGCTCAGTTGGTAGAGTGCTTGCTTTGCATGCACAAGGCTCTGGGTTCAATCCCCAGCACCACCCCACCCCCCCAAAAGAAAAACAAAGAAGAAGAAGAACTAATTGTGCTTTGTTGCCCTGGAGATGTTTCCCCTCCTTCTGTCTTGATTATAAAACAGTATAGTGATACTTTTAAAATATAGTCAGATTTGCTTATATTTAAGTATAGAAAGCAATGTAAAGTACAACTTAATGCCTTTTTTTTTTTTTTTTGGTACTGGGGATTGAATCCAGGGTCCCTTAAGCACATTTATACCTATTTATTTTTTCTTTTAATTTTGAGACAGGATCTCACTATAAGTTGCTTAGGGCCTCACTACGTTGCTGAGGCTGGCTTTGAACTCAGAGCCTCCTGCCTCAGGTTCCTGAGCTGATGGGATTATAGTTGTGTGCCACTGTACTACTCTGCTGAGGGTGTGTTTTTAGTGGGGATTATATATTCCCCAACGTAGAAAGACCATATAAAAGATTAAGGGGGCTGGGCATAGTGGTGTACGTCTATAATCAYAGCGGCTCAGGAACTTGAGGCTGGAACATTTCAAGTTTGAGGTCAACCTCAGYAACTCAGTAAGCTCCTAAGCAACTTAGTGAGACCCTGTCTTAAAATAAAACATAAAGGGTTGGATTTATGGCCCAGTGGTAAAGTGCCTCTGTGTTCAGTCCCTGGTTCAAAAACAAAAACAAAGAAAGATTAAGGATGACTGGGGCTTAGTAGTATAGCGCTTGCCTGGCATATGAGGAGCCCATCCCTAGCACCGCACACCCAGATTAAGGGAATACTTGCAGAAACTTGCCACCTTAGTTTTTTTGCTATAGTAAATTGTTCTCTTTCTCTAGGTATCTTATTGACAGCAGGTGGTTCAAGCAATGGAAGAAGTATGTGGGCTTTGATAGCTGGGATATGTAYAATGTGGGTGAACATAACCTGTTTCCTGGACCGATAGACAACTCAGGACTCTTCTCAGGTGCAGTATCCTTTTGCTTTCTAGCTAAATGTACACCTGGGCAGTCACTTGTGATCATGTATATCTGTAACATAGACGCTGTGAACCTGACTTTCCTAGTGTGAGGAGATAGAAACAAGCGTCCTCAATTTTGGTGTCTGTAGTAGAGGTTTTTGCAGACCCTTAGGTAGAAGTAAAGCTGTTGTTTTCTAAGTTAACTGTTTTATTAATTTAAAAAATTTTTTTGGTACTAGAGATTTAACCTAGGATGCTTTACCATTGAGCTACATCCTCACCCCTTTTTGTTTTTCATTTCATTGAGACAGGGTCTTAATAAGTTGCTTAGACTGATCTTGAACTCATGATCCTCTTGTCTCAACATCCCAACCTGCTGAGATTACAGGCCACTCTTCCTGGCTTAATTAACTGTTTCTAACAAGAGTATGCTTCTAATATTTTAATTTGTTTTCTGTATAAATCCTATTGAAATTCTCAGATTTTAGATTAGTATATGCAAAAGAAAGAAATAGGTATTTTGAAATTGCATCTGAAATTTGAAATACAGGAACCAGAATTTTTTTTTTTGATACCGTGTATGGAACCTACTCCTTTGCACACTCGCTAGCTTAATGCTCCAACTCTGATTTACATTTCCAGCCTGGGGAACCACAATTTTTTGTGTTAACTTTGAAGTGGAACAAAGTATAGACCTATTGAAGATTGTTATGCATTCCTGTGATGGCCATGTTTGTCATAGAATTAGTGTGAGAAGAGGTGGAAAATTAGTAGACAGAGTTATAGCCACAATCAGCTCCTACTGGGCACCTTGGCAAAGGTTATATGTGACATATTAGTGCTTGGCTTACACCTGTAGATGTGTGGAGATAACAGAGTTAGTTTTTTCTCAGGTTTTCTGACTGTAAATTTCTTTGTGAGCAGGTGATATGTCACCTCTGTTCAAAATCAGGGCCGAAAGAAAGTAGTCTCATATTTCAGAGTGTGAGACCTAATTTATATATACCTAACAGCCTAACAGTAATCTGGATGTTTGTTAAAATGAGCAGTTCTTGAGCTCATATTTTCTTTTTTTTTTTTTTTTTTTTTTTAAGAATTTTTAATATTTATTTTTTAGTTCTCGGCGGACACAACATCTTTGTTGGTATGTGGTGCTGAGGATCGAACCCGGGTCGCACGCATACCAGGCGAGTGCGCTACCGCTTGAGCCACATCCCCAGCCTCATATTTTCTTTTAAGGAGAGATCTAAATTATGTAAACAGTGTCATTTGCTTTGTTTCCTGATATAGGTCAGATGATGGCACTATACCATGAAGTTGCTCTAAGGAATTATTGCATTCATTATGTTCACACTGTGTTCTCTTTCCCTGTGTTTTTTTTTTTTTTTTTTTTGGTATTGGGGATTGAACCCAGTGGTGCTCTACCATTGAACTACATCCCTAGAACCAACACTTACAACTCAGTTGGTAGAATGCTTGCCTTACATGCACAAAGCACTGGGTTCAATTCCTAGCACCACTAAAGGAAAAAAAAAAAAAAGGTTACTGAACTACATACCTAGATTTTTTAATTATTTAATTTTGAGGCAGGGTCTTCCTAAGTTTCCAAGACTGGCCTGTGATCTTTCTGGGATTACAGGCCTGTGCCACTGCTCCTAGCCCTCTTTTTATTTTGAAAAGGAGACTTCTTGTTTTTGTTTGATAATTTTTTTCTAGGTTCATTTATTTATTTGGTACTGGGGATTCAACCCAGGGGTGCTTTACCACTGAGTTAAGTCCCTAGCCGTTTTTATTTTTTATTTTGAGACAATCTCACTAAGTTGCTTAGGGCCTAACTAAGTTGCTGAGATTGGCCTTGAATTTGCAATCCTTTTCCTTAGCTGTCTGATTTATTGGGATTATAGGAGTGTTGCCATAACACCTGACTATTTTTTTAAAATGGTATTTATCTATCTATCTATTTATAGTTGTGGACACATTATTTTTACTTTATTTATTTGCTTTTAATATTTTTTAAGATGTACATGGATACAATATCTTTATTTTTATTTTTATGTGGTGCTAAGGATTGAACCCAGTGCCTTACGTGGACTAGGCAATCGCTCTACCACTGAGCTACAAACCCAGCCTATGACTATTTATTTTTAATTTATTTTTTTAAATTGGTGCATTGTAATTATTCAGAATAGGGGATATTCATTATGTCATATTCATATGTGCATATAAACATAATTTGCTCAGCCTCCTTCTCCAGTACCTTCCCTTTCCCTCCCCTCTTCCCACTCCTTTCAAAAGGATAATTCTTTGTTTTTTATTTATTTATTTTTTTGGTGGTAGTACCAGGAACAGAGCTCAGGGCCTTGAGCATGCTAGACCGGGAAACACTGTGTCACTGAGCTATATCATCAGCTCTAAAAATAATTCTTAAGGGCAAGCATTCCTTTTATGGCCCCGAATTTTATGTCACCAAGTCTTGGCTTGAAATGTTAATCTCTATGGCTGAGAAATGAAAAGCACATTCCATTAGACTCTCGACATTGATAATGCATAAATGACTGATTTCTGGTGAATGAAGTTCAAATCCTTACTTCCTAGGTACTCAGTCATTAGCCTGGCTGCCTTCTACCTATGGTCATAGAAGTGGCCTGGAAGACACTCTTGAAAGTGCTGGAAGCAGGAAGAACATATTCTTGTTGGTGTTGTCTGTAGAGAGCCCCTTCTTTCATTTCTACCTATGTCTCTACTTTTATATCAGATGGAATTCCTGTGTTATACCAAATGGTGCTCTTATTTTCCTCTATTTGCCTGTTAACAGAAATTTGTAGAGAGTAAATCCTCATTTTAAAATCTCTGTGTTGCCAGGTACAATGGCACATGCCTGTGATCCCAGTGGCTTAAGAGGATTGCAAGTTCAAAGCCAGCCTCAGCAATTTAGCAAGGCCCTGAGCAGCTTAGCAGGACCCTGACTTAAACTAAAAAAAAAAGGGGGCTGGGGATATAGCTCAGTGGATAAGTGTTCCTGGGTTCAATCCCTAGTACCAACCCCCCCCCCCCCATGTTGCCTGGCAGTGGTGCACATCTGTAATCCCAGTGATACTCGAGGTTGAGGCAAGTTCCAAGCATTTTTTCTTTTGGTATTGGGAACTAAAACCAGGGGTGCTTTACCACTGAGCTACATCCCCAGACCTTTTAATTTTTTTTCTTTTTTTTTTTTTTGAGACAGAGTCTTGCTAAGTTGCTGATGCTGTCTTGAATCAGCAATCCTCCTGCCTCAGCCTCCTGAGTTGCTGGAATTATAGGAATGAGCTACCACAACCAGTGAGACTGTCTCTAAATAAAACATTCAAAAAAAGGGCCAGGGATGTGAAGTGCCCATGGGTTCAATTTCCAGTGCCTCAAAAACAAAACAGAAGATCTCTGTGTGTTTTTTAGCATTATGTCCTCAGATTGATTCAGTTTTGAGTAAAAATAGTGATCTGCATTGAAAATTGCAATTGAATTTCTGTGCTCGCCAAATACTGTCATAAGAATGACGTGTTTGAGTTCAATGGTAGAGGGTGTGCTTGAGGTTCTGGGCTCCATCTCTACCACCACACACCTACTCACAAAATAATGACATATTTGGGAAAATTATCATTGAGCTAGAGGGGGAAGAGCTTTGTAGAACTGATGTACTTGGGGTTGAGGAGACTGAAAGCTGTTGGTTTCTTCCCTGTTTTTGAAAGTTTCTACCTGCTCTTTGGTACAGTATGTTTGACCAGATCTGCATCTCCAACCCCTTTTATTTTTTAATTTTAATTTTTTTTGGGTGGCTGGCTCCCAGGTATTGAACCTAGGGGAACTTAACTACTGAGCCATATCCCTAGTCTTTTCTTTTTATTTTATTTAGAGACAGGGTCTCACTAAGTTGCTTAGGGCCTAGCTAATTTGCTGAGGCTGGTTTTGAACTCGTGATCCTCCTGCCTCAGTCTCTTGAGCCATTTGGATTACAGGTGTGCACCAACTTTTCTGGCCCTTTTCTTTTAGGACACAATCTTGTAAATTACCCAAGCTGGTCTTGAACTTGGAGTCCTTCTGCTCTAGCCGTTTTTTTTTTGTTTGTTTGTTTGTTTGTTTTTTCTGGTACCAGGGATTGAATTTAGGGGTGTGGGGGTGCTGAACTTTGTGCTTGCTAGGCAAGCACTCTACTAACTGAGCTATATCCCCAGCCCATCCCAATCCTTTTTATGTTGTATTTTGAGACACAGTCTTGCTAAGTTACTTAGGGCCTTGTTAAGTTGCTGAGGCTGTCTTTGAACTTGGAATCCTCTTACCTCAGCATACCAAGCCACTTGGATTACAGGTGTGTGCCGCTGCAACCAAATTGCCTTAGCTTTTTCAGTAACTAAGATTGTAGGCATTACTGGCATGTACCCTTCAACTTTTCTGTTGTTCTTAGAGTGGATATTGATGGGCACAGACTTGGCAGAGAGCATCCTTGGTGGAAGGTGATCCATCTTCCCTATGTCCTTTCTTGAGAGAGTATGTTTCAGACCATGGATGTCCAGTTCTGAAGCCCAGGAATGCTGCCTTTCTGTTGTAGGTATAAAATGTATGTCTGATATGTTAAATGCATTCTCTTTCCATTCTGCCCAGGACCATCTATCTGAGCTATGACTTGGAGTATTTAAAACCAAGAATGTTGCCAGTATGGTGGTACATGCCTGTAATCCCAGAGGCTTGGGAGGCTGAGGCAAGAGGATCTCAAGTTCAAAGCCAGCCTCGACAATTTAGTGATGTTGTCTCAAAATAAAAAGGGCAAGGCAATCCTGGTACCAAAAATAAACAAATAAATAAATAAAAAAGGGGCTGGGGGTATGCTCAGTTTTAAAGTGCCCCTGGTTTCAATCCCTAGTACCCAAAACAAAAAACAAAAAGCACACTGACAATGCTAAGGGACAGGAGGTATAATGTAGGTTAGTGGAAGGGTGCTTGCCTAATATGTACAAGACCCTGGATTTGATACCCTGCACCACAAAACAATAAAATAGGACTGGGGATATGGATCAGTGGTAGAGTGCTTGCCTAGCACGTGTGAGATCCTGGGTTCAATCTGTAGCATTGGTGGGGTTGGGAAAGCAAAAGTACTAATTGAGTCTTGATGAAATAAATGTAACTTCAGTGCCTCTTTTTTGGGGAGTGGAGGGTGGGGACAGTACTGGGGATTGAACTCAGGGCTCCACACATGCTAAGCAAGAATCTACCACTGAGTCACATCCCCATCCTTTCAGGGAAAGATGATATTTGACTTTAATATGGTATTCCTAAGACTTATGATAAATAAATACTTTTAAATTAGTTATTTTAATTTTGGAATCCTAAAACATTTTGGAAATGTAAATTGGAAGTTTTATCTTTTCTCCTCCTCCTCCTCTTCCTCTTTTTTTTTTTTTTTGTTGTTGTGGTCCCCCCCCCCCCCCAGTACTGGGGATTGAACTCAGAGGCACTTGTCCACGAGCCACATCCCAAGCCTTATTTTGTATTTTTATTTAGAGACAGGGTCTCACCGAGTTGTGTAGCACCTCAATGTAGCTGAGGCTGGCTTTGAATTCTCAATTTTCCTGTCTCAGTGTCCCTAGCTGCTGTGATTACAGGCGGGCACCACTGTGCCCTCCTACTGCTGCTCCTGCTGCTCCTGCTACTCCTGCTACTCCTGCTCCTGCTGTTCCTGCTGTTCCTGCTGCTCCTCCTCCTCCTCCTCCTTTCTCTTCCTCCTCCTCTTCTTGCTCTTTTTGTCCTTCTCCCCTCCTTCTTCCTCTTCTTCCTCTTCTTCTTTCTCCTCCTCCTCTTCTTTTTCTAGATGGAGTCCTCCTGTGTTGCCTCAGGTACCACAGGTGCACACCACTACATCCAACTTTCTTCTACCTATAATTGTAGAAAAATAGTTACTCATAAAATATTCAGAAAATTAAAGACAAAGAGGAGGAAGGTCTCTGATAGAATTTTGGAATTTTGTAGTTGATAACTTTTTCTTATTTCTTGAAAAATACAAGAGTCATGTAAAACAAATACAGGTGGTGGCATATGCCTGTTGGGTGTGGTGGCATACGCCTGTAATCCCAGTGGCTCAGGAGCCTGAGGCAGGAGGATTAGAAGTTCAGAGTCATCCTGGGACATGTAGTAGTCTCAAAATTAATAAAAGTGCTGGGTGTGGTGGCACAAACCTGTAATTCCAACAACTCAGGAGGTGGAGGCAGGAGGATTGCAAGTTCTAGGCCAGCCTCAGCAACTTAGCATGACCCTGTCTCAAAACAAGAAATAAAGGGCTGTGGATATGGCTCAGTGGTGACTGCTTCTAGGTTCAATCTCTGGTACCCAATAAATAAATAAAGGCTAGGGATGTTGTTCATTAACATGTGTGAAGCCCTGGGTTCAATCTCTAGTAGGGAAAAAAAAAATCATGTAAGTCTGACTGGGGAAAAGAACAATGAGTTAGTTATATGCTGTTTGCCTTTTTCAGATCCTGAGAATCAGACCTTGAAAGAACACTTAATTGATGAACTGGACTATGTCTTGGTCCCAACTGAGGCCTGGAATAAATTACTAAATTGGTATGGCTGTGTAGAGGGCCAGCAGCCTATTGTCAGAAAAGTGAGTATATGAATATGAATACTGATGGTCAGTATCTGCAGGTGCTCCTGGAGGGATACCAAATTGTGTTGGTTTCTTAGGAAAATGAACATACATAAGTGGTTGAAAGGAGGTTTCTGGTTCTTTTTAGGGAATTATGATTGTGAGTGATGTTCACCTAGTATGTTACAGTGAGTGGTCTTCAAACATCAGAGCTGCCCAATGGGATGTGTCCAATGGTGCTATGAGAGCATTTTCTGGAAGACTATGAAAGTTCACTTGGGCCATATGGACTTACAGTAATGTACAGCTTCTTGTTTATCTTAAATTTTTTCTGATGTAGCTCAGTGTTAGATAACTTGGTTCAGTCTCCAGTGAGTACCACAAAAAAACAAACAAAACAGAACAACCCAGAATAAACAAAAGCCCACCTTTCTTTTTTTTTGGTACCAGGGATTGAACTCATGGGACCAGCTCAACCACTGAGCCACATCCTCAGCCGTATTTTGTTTGTTACTTCCTTTCCTATTTAGAAACAGTTGCTCTAAATAAAGTAGAGCTGCTTAATGCCTTGCTATTGCTGAGGTTAGCTTTGAACTTGTGATCCTCCTACCTCAGCCTCCCTAGCCACTAGAATTATAGGCGTGCACCACCACACCTAGCCTTTTTTGTTTGTTTTGTTTTGTGGTGCTGGGGATTGAATCCAGGGCCTTTTTGCATGCTAGGCACTGAACCACATCCCCAGCTTTCTTTCTTTTGTCTCTCTCCATACTGGGGGATTGAACCCAGGGGCTCTATACAACTGAGCTACATATCTAGCTCTTTTTTAATTTTATTTTCGTATTTATTTTTTGGTTCCAGCCTTGAGCCTGGGGTTCTCAACCACGGAGCTACATCCCCAGCCCTTTTTATTTTTTATTTTGAGACAGGGTCTCACAAAGTTGATCAGCTAAGTTGCTGAGGCTGTTTTCAAATTTGTAATCCTCCTGCCTTAGCCTCCTGATTACAGACATATATCACCACAACTTACTAATCAGGTTCTTACTTACTTACTCAGACTGCCCTCTAACTTGTGATTCTCCTACCTTATTTAGCCTCCTCAGTCACTGGGATAATGTGTGAAAACACCACCTTTCTTTTTTTTGGTACTGGGGATTGAAACCAGGGGCTATAACCACTGAGCCATATCCCCACCCCTTTTTAATATTTTATTTAGAGACAGGGCCTCACTGAGTTGCTTAGCACCTCACCGTTGCTGAGGCTGGCTTTGAACTTTCGATCCTCCTGCCTCAGCCTCCTGAGCCACTGGGATTGTAGGCGTGGGCCACCATGCCTGGCAAAACACCATCACTTTTACTTCTGTGCTTCCGTCTTTGGCCACATAGTTGAGTACTTTAAAAATCAGGCATTTACACCCAGAGAATATTATCCCCTTGAGGGAATATAAACCCCAGGGCAGAATCCCAGATTGTTAGCACCTCTGGTAGATAAGACTCACAAGAAGACCATCACCCTGTCTCCCACAGTTGTTTTCTTGTCCTGTCTATCCGGAAATCACAAGAGCTCACATGTCTGCTGATGTTTAGGGACAAGGTAAAATTCTTACTCTATTGGGTATGTATTCTTAGCTGAGTAGTAAAGAGTTGCAGTCCTGGTACAGTGCTTCTTTTTTTTTTTAGTGATACAATGTATCTAAAAGTCATTTAGGGCCATAACTATTTTTTTCCTCTATCTTGAACTCCTGAGAAGGTTAGGGATCAAAAGGTTAGGGGCATGCTAGCCTTCTAAAGATGTTCCTAAATGCCAGTAGTATTGCAGTGTGAGTATTCTGCCAAGAATGATATATATATTTCTATATATATTTATACATATTTATATATTCTTTAGTCACTAATTTGACAAACTCTCCAAGGGAGGAAGCAGCATCATGATCTCACCTAAAGGTGAACAGTGACTTCCCTTTTGTGCAGTATCTGGCTTTATGCACAAGTATGACTCTGAATTGATGAGTTAATTAGCTTTGTTTTCTTTTTTTCTTCTATTATGTTACTGGAGATTAGATCCAGGGCCTCATATGTAGTAGGAAAGTGCACTATTACTGAACTGCATCCCCAGCCCTCTAGGCCTTTTTATTTTATTTACTATTTATTTACTTTAAATAATTATTTAATTTGTTCTAATTAGTAAGCCTTTTTTATTTTTTTGGTATTGGAGATTTAACCAAGGGGTGCTTTACCACTGAGCTACATCCCCAGCCCTTTTTGATTTTTATTTTGAGAAAGGTCTCAACTATTGCGTAGACCTTTGTTTGTGCTAGGCAGTTGGCTTGCCAGTGAGCTAAATCCCCAACCCCAGCCCTTTTTTACTTTTAAAACATTGTTATTTCATTTTGTTTTGCAGAACTGGGGGTTGAGCCTACAGCCTTTTATGTAGTAGATGAAATGTCACTGAACTAAGTTCCCAGCCCCCTGCCCTTTTTTTAAAAAAAAATTTCTTTTGTAATTGTAGATGGACAGAATGCCTTTGTTTTTATTTTTATGTGGTGCTAAGGATGGAACCCAGTGCCTCACACATGCTAGGCAAGCGCTCTATCACTGAGCCACAACCCCAGCCCCCTGCCCTTTTTTTAAAAAAAAATTTCTTTTGTAATTGTAGATGGACAGAATGCCTTTGTTTTTATTTTTATGTGGTGCTAAGGATGGAACCCAGTGCCTCACACATGCTAGGCAAGCACTCTGCCACTGAGCTACACAGCCTCAGCCTCTTCCAGCCCCTTTTGTTTATCTATTTTTTAAAATCTTGAGACAGGGTCTTAGTAAGTTGCCCAGACTAGCCTTGAATTTTAATCTTCCTGCCTCAGTCTCCCAGGTTGCGGGGATTACAGGTTATATCACCAAATGCAGCCCCCTCTACCTTTTTTTTTTTTTTAATTCTATGGTGCTGGGGATTGAACCCAGGGTCTCAAACATGTTAGGTATGTGTTCTACCACTGAGAATTCTTCTACATCAGGCATGTATTTTAAGGAGAATGAGTTTACAGTAACTTTTCTGTGCAAAGTTGATGTTCTGAGACTTTCCTGGAAGCCTTGATGTGGCATTAAATCCAGTTAGGATTTAATGGTTCTATCATGGTTGGCCCTAACGAGTGGAAAAAAGTCTTAAATCCTAGGACAGATGCTGATGGTTTTAAAAATTTGTACATGTAGATGAAAAAGTTTGTACTTTTGATCTCTAATTACTGAGGGAAACTGATGACTAAAGTTTTTCCTTTTGGTCTTATGGAGACACTTTCTTCCCAGTACTGTTCAGTTTTAGAACTGCTCCTTCATCCCTGCCTTTTGTTTACAGGTTGTGGAGCATGGCCTATTTGTCAAGCACTGCAAAGTGGAGGTATATTTGCTGGAACTGAAGCTCTGTGAGAACAGCGACCCCACCAATGTGCTGAGTTGCCATTTCAGCAAGGCAGACACCATTGGTGAGCAGCTGGGCTGGGGTTCTAGATATCTGGGGAGAGTGCAGGACACAGTGGCTGATAGAAAGGAAAGCTGGGGCACATCTTCAGACCTGTGTCCAGATCATCTCAGGCCAGTCCTGACCTGGGAACCTGTTGCCCAGGAGATTCTTTTTTCTTTTCTTCTTTTTCTTTGGCACTAGGGAGTTAACTCATGGGTGTTTATATGCTGAGCAGCTTTTTATCCCCAGCCCTTTTTATTTTTAATTATTATTATTATTATTATTTTAATATTTATTTTTTAGGTGTAGATGGACACAATACAATGTCTTTATTTTTTAATGTGGTGCTGAGGATTGAACCCGGGTCCTGCTCATGCTAGGCAAGTGCTCTACCGTTAAGCCACAATCCCAGCTCCCCTTTTTATTTTTTTTACACAGGGTCTTGATAAGTTGCTGAGGCTGACTTTGAACTGTGATCCTCCTCCATTGACCTCCTAAGTTGCTGGGATTATAGCCTTGTGCCACCAAGCCCAGTTCAGGAGATTCTTTTTCTTTTTTTGGTACTGGGGGTTGAACCCAGGGGCACTTAACTACTGAGCCACATACCCAGCCCATTTTTATATTTTATTTAGACACAGGCTTGCTTGTTCGTTTGTTTGTTTCTTTCTCTCTCTCTCTCTCTCTCTCTTACTTTCTGTCTGTCTTCTTTTTTTTTTTTTTTAAAGGAACTTCTTCCAAACCAGGGCTTGCTTGCTTGCTTGCTTTATTTATTTATTTATTGTGATGCTGGGGATTGAACCCAGGGCTTTGTGCATGAGAGTCAAGCATTCTCCCAACTGACTTATTTCCCCAGTCCCTTAGACACAGGTCTCACTGAGTTGCTTAGGGCCTCGATAAGTTGCTGAGACTGGCTTTGAACTCATAATCCTCCTGCCTCAGCATCCCAAACTGTTGGATTACAGGTGTGGGCTGCCACACCTGGCTCTCAGGAGATTCTTTTAGAGAGTCAAATGTGGGAATTATGTTCTATAGAATACTGAGCTCATTTGTCATATGGTAATAAAGATGAAGAAATGAAGAGTCAGGGAAGTTAAACATAACTTATTAAAAAAGTCTCAGCAAGGGACTTGAGGTATAGCTAGCTGAGTGGCAGTAGTGTATGCAAGGCCCTAGATTTAATCCTCAGCACCAAAAGATATGTGTTTATGTGCATTATGTGTGCACACACACAATCACACCTATTCATCATGGCAATTTCAGCAAAAAAGTGGCAGAGCTAGCTTTGAAACCATCTTTTTTTAAATATTTATTTTTAGTTTTCAATGGACCTTTATTTTATTTACTTATTTATTTTTATGTGGTGCTGAGAATCGAACCCAATGCCTCACATATGCCAGGTGAGTGCTTTACCACTGAGACACAACTCCAGTCCCCCCATATCTGTTTTAACTCCAAAGAGAATCCTTCTTAATTTTTTTAATTTTTAAAAATTTATTATTATTTTACCAATGAATCACATCCCTAAACCTTTTTATTTTGAGATATTTTGAGATAGGGTCTTGCTCATTTGCTAAGACTGGTCTCTAACTTGCATTCCTCCTCTTTCTGCTTCCCATGTAGCTGGGATTGTAGGTGAGCTCACTGTGCCTAACTTCACTTTTTGTTTAGTGGTACTGAACATTGAACCCAGGGCCTTGTGCCTGTGAGGCAAGCACTTGACCAACCAAGCTATGTCCCCAGGTCTTTACTTTTTCTTTTTTCTTTATTCTGGGGATTGAACCTAGGATTTCATGCATGCTAGGAAAGTGCTCTATAACTCAGCCACACTACCACAGCACTGCTTTTTTTTTTTTTTTTAACCTTTTTTTTTTTTTTTTGTGGCGATATTGGGGATTGAACCCAGGGGCACTTTACCACTGAGCTATATACCCAGTTCTGGCTCAGTTGCCCAGCTGGGCTTGATTTTGTGATCTTCCTGCCTCAGCCTCCTATATGCTGGCATTACAGGCAGGTGCTATCACACTGAACTCTGTTTCTCACTTTCTATGTGTGTCTGTGCTAGAAATATGACCTAAATTATCAGAGAAGCCTAAGGAAAGTTTTTGGGTGTACAAGTGCAAGAGGAGGCCTTCAGGAGTTACCAGAGGGCCGAGGTTCTGTCAGAACTTTTGTTCCAAAGTACATGTGAGCATCTGAAAAGGAAAGAGGATGAACATTGGTTTGCCTTGGCTGTCTTTAGCCTTGTATTGGTAGAAAGCTCTGAGTAATGTTTCTGCACCCTAGCAACCATCGAGAAGGAGATGCGGAAGCTGTTCAACATCCCAGCGGAGCGTGAAACACGGCTCTGGAACAAATACATGAGCAACACCTACGAGCAGTTGAGCAAACTAGACAACACTATCCAAGATGCTGGGCTCTACCAGGGTCAGGTAGGAGGGCCCAGGCTATGCTCAAACAGGCAGCTCTGTCCAGGGTATTTGACCAAAAAGCTTCTGGCTATAAGCATGTCAGGAGTGGGGTGGATTGCACTCTCCTCATTTGGTTTCCCCTTTCACTCAGGTGCTAGTAATTGAGCCCCAAAATGAAGATGGCACATGGCCCAGGCAGACCCTGCAGTCGAAGTAAGTGAATGTTTTCTCCCATGTGGCTGGGCTCACAGGTGTAATAGAGACATTCTTTTCTAAGGCAGTTGTACTTAGAAAAATGGTTCTGAATCAGATGGAAAAATCATGCAGTTTAGTCTTAGATGAAGATACAAGCTCTTGGTAAGCAGCATTCTGAGCATTCATCTAAGGGAAACCTGTCAGTGTGTCTCAGCAAGGCCACAAGCCTTTGCTTATTGAGAATGAGAGAAGGAGAAAGACAAGGGGCAGGATCTGACATTGACTGCTCTAGCAAGAGATGACTTTGATTTTTTTCAAGATCCTTTATTTTTCCACCTCTGGTTAGGGACTGTGAGGGAAAAGAAGAGGGATTATGCATGAGGTCTTATATGACTTAAAGGTGATAGTTTGATCCCATCCCACTCTGCTTAGTGTCCTGTTACTCATGATTACAGGGGTATTGTTCAGATACTAAACTGGAACTCTAGTCAGGTGCATTGGCACGTTCCCATAATCCCAACAACTCAGGAGACAGGAGGATCACAAGTGTGAACGTAGACTCAAAATAATAAAGGATTGAGGATTGAGGATGTAGCTTGGTGGGAGGCTTCCCTTGAGTTCCAACCTCAGTACCACATAAATTAAACAAATTGGGACTCCAGGCATAGTTATTTTAGATATTCATGAAATATGTGGAATTGTGCATGTCCTTCAAAGAGAAAAAAGTGTTGAACTTGCCTTATAGTGTAAGATTGGGAAATTATGTCTGTGCTCCAATAGTTACAGGGACGGTGTTGGGATCTGCTCTCTTCCTTTTGTTAGGACTTGGACTTTGTAATATAGTGATATGTTCATAGCTCATTTGAATGGCATGAAAACTAAAAGCCATCTTGAGAAACATGCATAGATATTCAGAATATTTGGGAATTTTACAGATTGCAAACATTTTCAAGGATTTTACAGATCTCTTGAAGTCCAGCCATGGACTCTGGTTCTTAGAAAGCTCAGTTACTGTTTCCTGATAAGTTGGCAAAAATAGCTGGGATAGGAAAAATAATGCCCCCCAAAATGTCCATATTCTAATCCTCAGAATTTACAAATATATTAGATTACAAAGAGATTTTGCATATATAATTAAGATAATGAGGGGCTGGGATTGTGGCTCATCGGTAGAGTGCTCACCTAGCATGGGTGGGGCCCAGGTTTGATCCTCAGCATCACATAAAAATAAAGGTATTGTGTTGTGTCCATCTACACCTAAAAAAAAAAAAAGATAATGAGCTAGGCCTAAGGATGCACACCTGTTTTCCCAGTKACTCGGGAGGCTGAAATGGGAGAATCTGCAAGTTCGAGGCCAACTTCTGCAATTTAGCAAGGCCCTAAGTAACTTAGCAAGACCCTGTCTCAAAATAAAAATTGCTGGAGATGTGGTTCAGTGTTAAAGTGCCTCTGGAGTCAATCCCTGGTACCATATAAAGAAAAAAGATAATGATATTGACATGGAGAGATCATGTAGGTGGATCCAATATAATTGCAAGTGTCCTAAGAGTTAAAGGAAGGCTGGAGAGTCAAAATTGTATGAGGACAAAAGCAGATTCAAGGTAGTGAAATGTGAGAAAAATTCAACTGGCCATGAGCCAAGGAATATGGGCAGCCTGTAGGAGTACCTAAAGCCTCCCCAAACACATGCACCCTGGCCAATGCCTTGATTTTAGTTCAGAGAGAACCATTTTGGACTTTTGACTTCCATAACTGCAGATAATAAATCTGTGTTATTTTAAGCTACTGAGTTTATGACAATTTGTGACATCTGCAACAGGAAAGTAATATACAAACCAAGGCAGTCAATTCCATTTTGAAGCTGAAAATGCCAAATAATTGAAAGAAACCCCCCTGGGTAGAGAGAAGGTGTTTAGATTACAGCCTGTGAGACAGAACTGGTAGCTCAGGGCGAAAGAAAGCTGGGTATACTGGTCAGGGGAGACTTTTTTTTAAATTGCAGATGAACCAATGCTTTCATTTTATTTATTTATTTATGTGGTGCTGAGGATTGAGCCCAGTGCCTCACATGTGCTAGGCAAGAGCTCTGCCACTGAGCCATAATCCCAGCCCCCAGGGGAGACTTAACTGCACCTTTTTCTCTTCTCAGCCTAGTTTCTCCCTATCCTTCTCATACCCTGAGACCTAAGAGATTGTGTTTAAGAGGCAGTTTTTGGAAAAGAGCAGTGCCTTGTTGAGACTTCCTGAAGGTTAGTCTCCTAGTAAGGTGTGGCCAATAGGCAGTAAGTGCAGAGTGGAATTCCTGAGGTACATTCTCTTCTCCACTCTCTCACATGGTACTAGATACTGTTGTTCATACTGAGGATATGGTAAATACCAAGTCTTTATCTCAAGGAGCAGAATAAAAGAAAAACATGTGTTTCCAGTGACTTACAAACATTGTGGATAAAAATGTGGGAAGAGAATTAGTGAGYTGTAGCCTTTGGAATGGGACAGATTTAACCAGGATTCATTTGAAGATAGCCGTCTAGGAAGTAAGGGAGTCAGCATGGATTGAGGTACTCAATAGGAACAAATAACATCATTAATCAGAAGAAACAGCAGCTGCAGATGTCCTGAGCTGAAGCAGGCCTGGTTGAAAACCAGCAGGACATTGTGTGGCTAGATCCTGAGGGATGATAGGAAGTAGAGGTTGAAGACCAGGAGGTAAGGAGGTGGTAGAGAGAAAATGACAGGGACAAGAGGATGAAAGTGCATAAACAAGGCCCTGGTTTCAGTCTACATCATCAACATAATTAAGAATTTATTGCCAGGCATGGTGGTGCATGCCTGKAATCCCAGCAACTATGGAGGCTGAGGCCAGGAGGATTGTGAGTTCAAAGCCAGCCTCAGCATCTTGTCAAGCCCCTAAGCAATTCAGTGAGACCCTGTTTCTAAATAAAAATATAAAAAGGGCTGGGGATATGACTCAGTGGTTAAGTGCCCCTGGGTTCAATCCCTGGTACCAAAAAAAAAAAAAAAAAAAAAAAGATCTTATGTTCATCAGAGAGTAAAAAGGAAAGCCACAGCGTGAAAGAAGATATTAACAATACATCTATCTTACAAATTATATATATCTAGAATTTCAAGATAAGAAAAGAACAATGCCAGGAAAAAAAGAGAGAGAGAGAAACACAGCTAGGCAAAGTGGTAAATGCCTATAATCCCAGCTACTTTGGAGGCTGAGGCAAGAGGATGACAAGTTCAAAGCCAAGCTGGGCAACTGAGCAAGACTCAGTCTCAAAATAAAAGGGGTTGGGGTTGTAGTTCAGTGGTAGAGCACTTCTGGGTTCAATTCCCAATATATTTTTTTTAGAACTTTATACATATTCTACAATTTGACTTTCCTACTCCTAGGCATACAGCTAACAAAAACACATCCCATGTTCACTTAAGGACATGTTCAAGGTTGTTCACAACAGCATTGTTTGTCATAGTCATGAACTTTCAAGTTAATCCAGAGTCCTCCAACAATCCATGATAAGTTGCTGTGTACATATACAGTGGAATTCAGCACAGCAACATGAGTGAGTTTCTACATAATGTTAAAAGAGAGAAGCTGGACATAAAGCAGGATGTATTATATGATTCTGTTGATATAAAACTTAATAGGCAAAATAATCTCTGGGGAGGTCAGGTTGGTTGTTAGCTTTGGGAAGAACTTTGACTGTAAGAAGCCTGGGAAGGATGCTTGGGGGGTTGATGCTGCCCTGTTTTTGGTCTGGGTACTGGTTATATAGCCATATTCACTTGTTACAATTTCTTTGATTTTTATACATTCATGACTTAAATACCTTTTAATGAAATACTCTAATACAAAGTTTTATGACAGCTGGGTCCAGTGGTATATGCCTATAATCCCAGCTACTTGGGAGGCTGAAGCAAGAAGGTTGCTTGAGTCCAGGATTTTGAGAAAAACATTGGACAACATAGTGAGACCAGTATCTTAAGAAAGAAATAAAGAAAAAAAGAAATTTAAATTTATTTATTTATTTAAAATTTTGAGATGGGATCTCAGAAAGTTGCTGACGCTAGCCTTGAACTTGTCGATTCTTCTGCCTCAGACTCCCACGTTTCTGGGATCATAGGTGTGTGTACCCAGCTTATATATTTCTTTGCAGGAGAGTATCATAGTAAAATTGTTCCCATAGTAAAAATAACCAGTGTTGTAGAAGGAAAATCACAGTTGCACATATTTGAAACAAAGCCGAAAGATTCGCTTTCTTCTGTTTTATGCAGTCTATAATATTGATAGACTAGGTAGCAGTTTCAGATTTGGGGCAGTTAACTATAGATTAATTAATCTGAAAGTAGAATCTGAAATAAGAGTCTGTGAAAAATATTGAAATATGAATTTGAAACATAGAGATTACTCACATTTGGCAAATGTGAAAAACCAAAAGCAATTTCCCTTAAATGGCTTCCAGAGCTGAGACAAGGTTGCAAGTTTGAGGCCAGCTTGGGCAGTTTAGCAAAATCTGTCTCAAAATGAAAAATAAGAAAGGGTTGGGGGTAGCTCAGTAGTAAAGTGTTCCTGGATTAGATTCCCAGCACCAAAAAATAATTGCCATTTGTCAGGCATTATTTCCTCCCTCTCTCCCTTCCTTCTTCCTTCCTTCCCTCCCTCCCTCCCTTCTGCTGGGTATTGAACCCAGGACCTTATGCATGCTAGGGAAACACTGCAGCACTGAGCCAATCCTTTGTTGTTGTTTTAAATATTTTTTTAGGTGTAGATGGACACAACATAGTGCCTTTATTTTTATGTGGTGCTGAGGATCGAACCTGGGCCCCACCCATGCTAGGCGAGCGCTCTACCGCTGAGCCACAATCCCAGCTCCCACCCCAATCCTTTTTATCTCTTATTTTCCCTGTACTAGAGATTGAACCCAGGGGCACTCTACTACTGAGTCACATCCCTAGCTGTTTATTATATTTTTATACCTTTATTTAATTATATGCAGTGCTGAGGATCAAACCTCAGTGCCTCACACATGCTAGGCAAGCACTCTACCACTGAGCTACAGCCCCAGCCCCCCAGCACTTTTTTTAGTTGTAGGTGAACACAATACCTTTATTTTAGTTTTATGTGGTGCTAAGGCTCGAACCCAGTGCCTCACACATGGTAGGTGAGCACTCCACCACTGAGCCACAACTCCAACACCCCAGCTCTTTCATTTTGAGATAGGTTCTCACTAAGTTTCCCAGGCTGGCCTCAAACTTGAAATCCTCCTGCCTCAGCCTCCCAAGTTACTGTAATTATAGGTGTGCACTACCATGACTGGCTTTTAATAAAAATATATGAGATAATCTCACTGATTTGCTGACACTGACCTCAAAATGTAGACCTCTAGTCTTAGCTTTCTGAATAACTGGGATCACAGGTCTGAAGCTCTACCCCTGACTTGTGTGAAGTATTTTAAATAATTAATTTTATTTTTTTAAATATCTTTCTATTTATTTTTTATATGACGCTAAGGGTTGAACCCAGTGCCTCACTTTGTGCTAGGCAAGTGCTCTACCACTGAACTACAACCTTAGTTCGTGTGTCAAGTGTTTTTTTTTTTTTTTTCCTTTTGGTACCAGGGATTGAACCCAGGGGTGCTTAACCACTGAGCCACATTCCTAGCCCTTTTTGTACTTTATTTAGAGACAGGATCTCACTGAGTTGCTCAGGGCCTCAATAAATTGCTGAGGCTGGCTTAGAACCCATGATCCTCCTGCCTCAGCCTACTGAGCTGCTGTGATTATAGGTGTRTACCACCATGCCTCTGTGTCAACTATTTTGAGAGAAGTCTTTTTTTTTTTTTTTTTTAAGTTGGACACAATACCTTTATTCCATTTATTTATTTTTATGTGGTGCTGAGGATCGAACCCAGGGCCCCTGCGTGTGTTAGGCAGCACTCTACCACTGAGCCACAATCTCAGCCCTTGAGAGAAGTCTCATTGCCATTTTTCTGTGCCTTTCACTGGTAARACTTAAAATTTCAGAAAAACTTGTAATTTATAAATGAAATCAGAATGCCCTGAAGTTCAACCTTGTGGTTTATTGCACTGGAAGATTCAGTACATGACCTACATGACCATGTAGGCTAATGAGACCTGAAGATTAATTAATTTCTGAACTTAATTTATCTTGAAGAATTATAAAAATAGGACTTTTGGAGCTTATTTTAACTGATTGAATATGGAGAACATTTCTTGAAAAAAGTCCTAAGGCATTAAATAGGGCTTGCACTTTGCAAAAAATCAGTAGCATTGTTTCTGCTTCTCTCTCCCAGATCAAGCACTGTGCCTAGCAGAAATTTTACTACCTCTCCAAAATCATCAGCAAGTCCCTATTCCTCAGTGTCTGCCTCTCCCATTGCAAATGGTGATAGCACTAACACCTCTGGGATGCACAGTTCCGGTGTCAGCAGGGGGTAAGAGCAGGCCATTTCACTTTGCTTCCCTTCCTCTGAGTCCATTTGCAGACTGTATCTGGAGTTCTCATCTGTTGTTAGGCTAAGCATCATGGGATCAGAGCTCCCCCTAGGAATGGGTTGCAGGTGGTCTCTCACTACTTTTCATACCCACAGTCTAAGTGTGCCTCCTACTTCTGACTTACATTGCTTATTGTCCTATAGGCTGGTGTTTTCCCCATAGCCTAAGTYACTGGTGATTGTAGGGGCACAGTGCATTTATTTTGGAAGGATAGACTGGCCATATGCCAGATTAGCAATAAGGGGATGATTTGCAGCTGTGGAAGAGCCCTATCTATTTACCCTGTGGGATCCTTTCTCCAAGTCTTTCAGGACCACCTTCAGATAGCATAGACAAGGTGGAAAGAACTAGTGAGGAAGGAGTATGCATGAACTCAGGCTTAGTCAAGGTTGGGTGTGGCCTGGTGGGCTATGGCAGATGCATGCTTTTGATTTTGATAACCAGAATGTTCTTCCCTGAAGTAGTCTGACAGCCTTCTCAAAGGATATAAAAATTCAAATATATTTCTCTTCTTAAGGATATGTTTACAACCTGCTAGCATGTCAAGTCATGGGCAGGGTACAGGTCTGGAGGTGTGAAGAGGTGGGTAGAGAGAATTTATATCATGGGGCTAATACCAGACACAAGTTCTAGAGGCCCCAATGGAGCCCCCAAAGGTATCCTGAGGTCATGTGGGCAACACTTGCTTTTATTGCTGATATGGGTTGTGTTTTTCAGTGGATCTGGCTTCTCTGCTTCATACARTTGTCAGGAGCCCCCATCATCTCATATACATCCTGGGCTATGCGGACTTGGAAACCTGGGGAACACCTGCTTCATGAACTCTGCTTTGCAGGTAGAGGGGAGAGCTGCCATCTGAACATCAGGGTGTCATGAGGCTTGGGTGGGAATGGTCTGCTAGTGCTAAGCTGATCTTTTCTTAGGGTCCTCAACTTGTTTACTTTTAGCGCTTTAGCATTCTGCCAGGACAGCTCCCAGTGGTTGGTTCAGAATGGCCTCCACAGTGTTTGTGGCCCCAGAATGTCTTATTCAATTCTGTGTTTGTGTTTGGTTTTACAATAGAAATATTTTGAATTTTTGTTAACCATTAGGTTATAAACTCCCTAAGAGTTTTGAAGTACCTATCTGGTTGGTCTCTGATAGGATAAGGAGACTTACAGCAGGTACCAATCTCAGTTATTCCTTACTGAAGGTTTACCTTTTTTTTTTTTTTTTAACCAAAGACCCCATGCTGGGCTGGGGATGTGGCTCAAGTGGTAGCGCGCTCACCTGGCATGCGTGCGGCCTGGGTTCGATCCTCAGCACCACATACAAAGATGTTGTGCCCGCCGAAAACTAAAAAATAAAGATTAAAAAAAAAAAAAGACCCCATGCTTACTTCATACCTGTCACTGGAGAAATCCTAAAATCCTCCCTTTGGACCCTCATTTGTTCTTCATATATTTATTAGGCATATATAATGTGATAGTACTATGGTAAACATGGGTTGCAATGAGTTAGGGCGCAGCTACAAAGTTAGAAGGGCATCAATTCTGAAGACTGCCCTCAATTCTGATGCCAACTGCAAATTTGGGGGTTCCTGAGACTACCCACAGTTTTGATAATTTGCTAGAAGTATTTACAGAATTCATATGAAGCTGTTAAATTCATGATAATGCTTTATTTTTAAAATTTTTTAAAGAGAGAGAATTTTTTTAATATTTATTTTTTTAGTTTTTCGGCAGACACAACATCTTTGTTTTTATATGTGGTGCTGAGGATCGAACCCCGGGCCTCATGCATGCCAGGCGAGCGCGCTACCGCTTAAGCCACATCCCCAGCCCGTTGATAATGCTTTATTATAGGGAAAAGTTACATAATAAAATCAGCCAAGGGGAGAAATAAATAGAGCAGAATCCAGGAGGGTTCCAAATGGTTGAGCTTCTGTTGTTCTCTCTCTATGGAATCAGGACACATGACTTTACTGGCACTGACATATAATGATGATGCACAGAGTACTACCAACCATGGAATCTCACCTGAGCTTCAATAGCCATAATTTTGGGAGAGCTTCTTTATATAGATATGATAGATTAATTGCCCAGTGGAATGATTTTATGCAACCCACAGCACTCTCTTAAGTCATTTGCTGGTCTTTCCTCAGTGGTAGCTTTTATTCTAGGACTATACAGGTGTAGTAAGCTCCCTGGACCCAGAAATCATGCTGTTAGTGTATCTGGTATAATCCAAGGCCACACAGACACACTCCTATTAGGCATAGTCTTCTGGGATAAATATATTTATTTCCCAGAAATCAAGTACAAAACTCAAGCCTTTTTGGGTAAGGGAAAATTCTCATTTTTATTTTTTTGAAGTTTTTTTTTTTAAAGGTTAGGTAACTCTTGGATTTGGAAATAATTTTTCGCCATTGTGGTGAAATAGCCTAGTACTAAAGAAAAGACCCCTGAGGTTTTATATTGTTCTTTTTCCCCCTGGTGGTACTGTGGATTGAACCCAGAGGTACCCTGAGCTACATGCCCATCTCTTTTCATTTTTTGAGATTGGCTAACTTGCCTGGGCTGTCCTCAAACTTGAGATCCTCTTGCCTCAGTTTCCAAAGTTGCTTGGATTACAGGCATGTGCCACCAAGCCTGGCTGAGATTTGACTTTTTATTGATATGTTTTCTCAGCTCTTTGTACTTTCCACTTTATTTAGCTGTTGAGTTAGGGTAATAATAATGAGAAACTTTATAACTGTAGATGTAAATACAAATTGAGCAGTCCAAAGTGCTCCACAGGGGCTGGGGTTGTGGCTCAGCAGTAGAGTGCTTGCCTAGCATGGTTGAGGTCCTGGGTGTGATCCCTAGCACCACATAAAAATAAATAAATAAAATAAAGGTATTGTGTCCAACTACAACTTAAAAAAAATTGCTCCAGAATTTTTTGGGGATTTATTTATTTATTTATGAGATTCTCACTATGTTACCCAGGTTGGCCTCAAACTCTGTCTCAAGTGATCCTCCTTCGTCAGCATCCTGAACAGCTGCTATAATAAGCATATACCACACATCTGGCTCTGAAATTTCTTGAGTGCTCACAAAGTTTTAGATTTCAGAGCATTTTGGATTTAAAATTTTTGGATTAGGCATGTTCAATATTCCAAAGTCTTTAAAAACAGATCTGAAACACTTTTAGTCCAACATTTTGTTTGTTTGTTTTTGTTTTTGTGTTTTTGGTACTAAAGGTTGAACCCAGGGACATTTTACCACTGAGCTATATCTCCAGCCCTTTTTATTTTTTATTTTTTTGAGACATGGTCTTGCTAAGTTACTTAGGGCCTCACTAAGTTGCTGAGCCTAGACTTGAACTTGCAATACTCATGCTTCAGCCTTCTCAGTCACTGGGATTATAGATATGTGCCACCACACCTGGCTGCAGTGCCCATTTTAAAATTTGAAGTTAAAATTAATATATACTTATATAATAGTATTATTTATGGCTTTTATACTGATTATCCTCATTTTTTTTTCCCTTAGGATATTTTAGTAGGCATTTGTGTTTTTCTTAATTATATTTTGTTTTCTCATGAAGAACTGGAATTTTCCTAGTCACTTCCATTGAAAAATTATTATCCTAAATATTATTATCTTCCTTTGGATAAAATATTGAGCTTTTATCCCCAAGTACCTTGTTTGAGAGATGAAGTCTTAGTTACTGCATGTGAGCTCCTCCAGGACCGTGTCCTTAGGAGGTTTGCTGTGAGGTGGTCCCTCAGCTTTATGGGTGTCAGCCCCCAAGAAGCTTCTTAGTGTTTCATTTTCTTGGGGCTGACCCTTAGTGGCCCTTTAGAACTTGGTTTATCTTTTTTTTTTTTGTTTTGTTTATTGTTTTTTAGTTGTAGTTGGACCCAATACATTTATTTCATTCATTTATTTTTATGTGGTGCCGAGGATCGAACCCAGGGCCACGAGCATGCTAGGCAAGAGCTCTACTGCTGAGCCACAATCCCATCTCCTAGAACTTGGTTTATCTTGTTTTTGTAAGTTCACTTGAAGAGGTGTAAGCTCTAATCATATTCTGTTTCAGTGCCTAAGCAACACTGCACCACTGACTGACTACTTTCTCAAAGATGAATATGAAGCAGAAATCAACAGAGACAATCCTCTGGGCATGAAAGGGGAGATTGCAGAGGCCTATGCAGAGCTCATTAAGCAGATGTGGTCTGGAAGGGATGCTCACGTGGCACCTCGAATGTTCAAAGTAAGCTGACTTATGTATTTCTGTTTTCCTTTTTTGAGAAGAGTGGTTTAGTGTTGTAATGAGGCATCCCTTTACTTTCATTTGAGATTAAGGTGAGGTCTAATACTGAAAGCACCATAATATTGAACCCTTCTTTATTGTCATTTAGCAAACACTTAAGTGCCCTTAATGCCCACATCTAGCCTGGGATGCCCCAGGAGTCACTTGATTGCTCAGAATAGTATATTCTGTGGTGGCAGTGTTTACATTCAGTGTCCTAAACCAAGACCATAAAAATTCAGTTTAACTTCCAGGATTATGTGAAGGCTATTCCCAGGATCCCTGAGCCTGAACCCTACATCCCTGTGGTCTGAGTTATCCCCACCCCACCCCTCAGTTAGGAATTGGGTTGATTTTCTCAGAAGGTGATGTGAGGAGCAGTTCTCACTTAGGTCCCTCAGCTAGTAAGATTTGGGGAGGAGATAATGAAGTGCACTGGGCCTTGGAGCAGCTTGGGCTTTCCATAGCCCTAAATGTTTTTTTTTTTTYTTCTTCTTCTTTTTTTCTTCTTCTCTGCTAAGGGAAAGTGCCTTGTCCCCATAAGTTGAAATCTGAGGAACCCTACTTAACCTGCACTGGTGGGGTTCAAGGAGTTTTCAGGAAGCACATGGTAAAAAAAAGATTTGCACATTTTTGATTCAGAAAAAGGAAAAGAAAATAGCATCTTAGCTCAATGAGAAAATGAAAATTCAGGCTGGGGGTTTAGGTCACTGGTAGAGCATTTGTCTAATATGTTAGGCCCTGGGTCCCCAGTACCATAAAAGAAAAAGAAAGAAAGAGAAAAATCTCAAGTAGCTTGTTGAAATTGAAAATTAATTCTCTTTCATCCCCTTGGACACATTAATCCCTGGGAAATAGAAGTAAATTATTATTCATATAATAAGTCATAAAGAAACTAGAACTGTGTGAAACACACTGGGCTTAAGCTAATATAAATAAATAATTGGCAGGTGATATTTAGGGGGTGTTTGAGCAGCTTAACTTCCTCATATTTTATATCTGCACTGTCTGGTAACAGGCACTAGTTCAAGTGCCACTGGGCATTTTGAGCTGTTAGCAGAACCAAGAAACTGAGTTTTAAATTATATATATTTATTTATTTTCTCTTGGTATAGGTGATTGAACCCAGGGCCTTGCACCTGGTAGGCACACGTTCTACCACTGAGCTATACTTTAGTCCCTGAATTTAATTTTAATTCTTTTAAATTTGAATAGCCAAATGCAGTTAGTGGCTATGGTATTAGACAACACAGGTGTAGAATAGTGATTTTAGTATACATCAGAATCTCTGGAAAGGGTTATTACAATACAGACTGCTGGGCCCATCTCTAGAGTTTCTGATTAAATGGGTCTGGGGTTGGGCCTGAGAATGTACATTTATACTGAGGCCCTAGGTAATGCTGTTGCTGCTAATTGGTGTCCACATTCCAAGGATTGCTTGTGGAGAGCAATACTGGGTAGTCAATTATCTAGACACATGAGGACTATTATGTGCAAGAGGATTCATCTAGCTGATGCAGGTATCATTTCTAACATTGTTCTGGAGTTTAAGACTAAACTAAAGAAAAGGACATTAGAGAGGGATTTGTCTTAGTACTTAGGTGTGGCTACTCAGAGTGCTGATCCTCACCTCCATTATAGGGTAGTAGCCCAGGTTCTAAATCCCTGGCTGTCCTTGCTCTCTGTTCTGAGCCTTCTCTTTGATGGGCACCATTGACCTCTGTTAGGTTCTTTAGGAGTTAATTGGGCTACTCAAGTAGGTGGTGTTTTCCCTCTTGTCCTAGCTAACTCTTTAAAATTGTTGTTGATAATCACTGTCTCTCTACTTTACTGGTTCTTTATATATTATGCCTTCTAATATAGTTGCTTTTGTTGTAGACCCAAGTGGGACGTTTTGCCCCTCAGTTTTCTGGCTACCAACAACAAGACTCTCAGGAGCTGTTAGCCTTTATTCTAGATGGATTGCATGAAGACCTGAACCGAGTAAAGAAGAAACCTTACCTGGAGCCAAAGGATGCCAATGGGCGACCAGATGCGGTATGATATTGAAACAATCTACATAATAATATCCAAAAGTTGCCTCCTATTGACATTGTGAGGACAGGACAATCTTCTGGTCTTGGGGTGTTAGTGCCAGGGCTCACATTGCCTCTCATTGTTGATAGTGATAGGAGGGTGGACTCTGGTAGGGAAATGCGTTCCAGGTCAAAGGGGGCTAACTATACTCCCTTTTTTGTTTTCTGAATTACTGGAGGTGGTCCTGATGTCACAAATGAGTCAGTTTATTTAGTATTTCATAGGCTAATTAGAGACTAGGGCACTCTGAAAACTGTACTTCAAAAAACAAAAAACAACTGTGGAGTGAACCCTTAAGATTGTAACTGCTCTCATTAAAATCAGTCTCTGGGCTGGGGATGTGGCTCAAGCAGTAGCGTGCTTGCTCGCCTGGCGTGCGTGCGGCCCGGGTTCGATCCTCAGCACCACATACCAACAAAGATGTTGTGTCCGCTGAGAACTAAAAAATAATAAATATTAAAAAATTCTCTCTCTCTCTCTCTCTCTCTTTAAAAAAAAAAATTTTAAAAATAAATAAATAAATAAATGAAATCAGTCTCTGGTTTATACAGTGGCATACACATGTAATCCCAGATACTTGAGATGCTGAGGCAGAAAGATCGCAAGTTTGAGGTAGCCTGAACAACTTGGACTGTTTTTTTTTGTTTTGTTTTGTTTTTTTGGTTCTGGGGATTGAACCCAGGGGCACTTAACCACTGAGCACATCCCCAGCCCTTTTTTATATTTTGAGGCAAGGTCTTGCTGAGTTGCTTAGGTCCTCACTAAGTTGCTAAGGTTGGCTTTGAACTTGAAATCCTCCTGCCACTGGGTTCAGTCCTCAATACTGCAAAAATTCATGAAAGAAGGAAGGAGAGAGAAAAGACAAGACAGGACCCAGGAGGTAGTCCTTGCTCTGGTCAGCCCTTTGTGCCCATGGTACTCTGAGTGCCCCTTGTGTCCTATAGATTCTCTGTCAGCACCTTATTAAACATGTCACTGGACATAGAGCTGGTGTTTGTTGTGAATGTTACAGCTAAGAGCAGTCCTGGCCTTGCTTGCCTTGACATGCTCTTGGCCACATAGACAACTTCTCAGTGTATCTCACAGTATTTGCTATGACTCGTTCTAGATGTAGGGAAAAAGGACTGAGAGGTTGAGAATGTTCTTCTTATCTCTTCTCTTTTCATCCAGGTGGTGGCAAAGGAAGCCTGGGAGAATCACAGGTTGAGGAATGATTCTGTGATTGTGGACACTTTTCATGGCCTTTTCAAATCTACTTTGGTTTGCCCAGAATGTGCGAAGGTTTCTGTCACCTTTGATCCATTTTGCTACCTAACTCTTCCACTACCCATGAAGAAGGATCGAATAATGGAGGTCTTCCTTGTTCCTGCTGACCCTTGCTGCAGACCAACTCAGGTAATAGAATCTGCATCGTCATGACACCCCTTTATGTGAGTGGTCTCCAGGCCCTGGTGGGATCGTTTTCATCTGTTGCTTTGGAAACTTGGGTTTGTCTCTGTTTATGCTGTTGACCTCTATCAGACCTTGGTGTAATCCCTTGTCATTCAAGACCTGTTGTGAAGGTCTTAGGGGATTCTTTATCACTTTTTTGCCCATGTTCTCTTCATGTCACTGTGATAGCCTGATTAATCTGCTAAGTGGTCCTTGAATCTGAATGTTGAGAAACCCAAAGCGGGTACTTTCCTTTGTCAGTTCTGTTCTTAGATTAGCTTAAAGAACTTAGCCAGGGCTGGGGATGTGGCTCAAGCGGTAGCGCGCTCGCCTGGCATGCGTGYGGCCCGGGTTCGATCCTCAGCACCACATACCAACAAAGATGTTGTGTCCGCCGAGAACTAAAAAATAAATATTAAAAATTCTCTCTCTCCTCTCTCACTCTCTCTTTAAAAATAAATAAATAAATAAAAATAAAAATGGTGGGAATGATGATAGTGGTAGCTTTAAAAAAAAAAAAAAAAAAAGAACTTGGCCAGAAAAAGAGGCCAGATGTGAGGTGTGACCAGTATCTTAGTGTTCAGTTTTCTTGATTGCTCACATCCTGATTTATTGCTTAGTCTTCTCTTTAGTTTGTTTTTTCCTCTCTCTCCTCTTTTGGAGTAGAGGATTGAACCCAGGGGTACTTTGCCACAGAGCTACATTCCCCCCCCTCTTTTTTTAATATTTATATTTTTTTATTTGTAGATGGACACAATCCCTTTATTTTATTTGTTTATTTTAGGTGGTGCTGAGGATCGAACCCAGGGCCTCACATGTGCTAGGCAAGTCCTCTACTACTGAGCTACAATCTCAACCCTTTCCTTTCCCCTTTTTAAAAAATGTTTTTAGGGCTGGGGTTGTGGCTCAGTGGTAGAGTGCTGGCTTAGCATGTATGAAGCACTGTGTTTGATCCCCACCATCACATAAAAATAAATTAAAAAAAATAAATACAATTTTTTTAAAATTTTGAGGCAGGGTCTTCCTAAGTTGCTCAGACTACCCTTGAACTGGAGATCCTCCTGCCTATTCTTTTGAGTCATTGGGATTATAGGTGTGTGCTTTTAGTTTCTATCTCTAAAAAAAGGTGATATATAGAACCAGATGGCAATTTGTATTATTTTAATAATTCTTTAAAGGGAGATGTAAACTACTCCAGAAAGTGAAGAATAAAATAAAGCAGTGTGGGCTGAGGTTATAGCTCATTGGTAGAGTGCTTGCCTAGCATGGATGAGGCCCCTGGGTTCAGTCCCCAGCACCACAAAAATTAAGAGAGAGCAAGGGAAAGAAGGGAAGTGTTTAGCAGCCTTTAGAAGGGGAAGAGAAGGCTCAGCTCCCATGCTGTGTTGCTTGAGTGAGTGGTGTTCATYTTGATGACTTGCCTATTTTTTCTGGTGCTTTGCTACTGACTCATGTGTACCCTGACCTCTCCATCTACTGACTCTGGAAGGGCCTCTGCCCCAATGATGCTTCCTTCTCCCAAGTCATTTCCCTGCCCCATAGAGTACCCCTGTTACCTTGACCATCTCTCCCTTTGCAGTACCGTGTGACTGTGCCACTGATGGGGGCCGTCTCTGACCTGTGCGAGGCTCTGTCCAGGCTGTCTGGCATTGCTGCAGAAAATGTAAGGCGGGGTGATCAGTGGCACTTAGACTATTAGGGTTACTTCATTGTCCTTTGGAATTTGTTTAACCTTGTAGTTACTTTTTKGGGGGGTAGTTGTTATTGGTCAGCACAAATGTGATTATTGGTGTATATCTGGATGTCTTACACCTTCTGGTTCTTGCTCACAATGCACACAATAATTGAGACTGTGTCTTCCAGCTCTGGGAAACACAATCTTTCCTTCACTGGGGGTCATGGTACCCATGGTAGTCCAGGAGCAGGATTCTGTGTGCTTCAAGTGGCATGGAGACTTCAGGCCATGTGGAATACACCAGAGCCTTCTAGATGACAGCTAGTCTCTGGTCAGCACTTGTCACCATTCCTATTACTTTAGGGCACTTGTTACCTGCATGGATAGTGCTAGCAACTAAAAGGGAGCCATACTGCTCCCCTTTGAACCTTGGCCCCAAGTAGTGGGGCTTGTTGCATTGTAGTTTCTTTAGGGATAACACTCCAATAGGACATTTTTTTCCCCTGTTCTGTGTTTTAAGCAATGTAGGGGTACCCTGAGTCATCCTATAATCTCTCTATTACTATTGATTCTTAGATGGTGGTCACAGATGTGTATAATCACCGGTTCCACAAAATTTTCCAAATGGATGAAGGTTTAAGCCACATCATGCCTCGGGATGACATTTTTGTGTGAGTACTTAGCAGTTTCTGGTGCAGGATCAGAGGTAACATTCTAGAGGCTTTGCCTTATTTGTGTCTTCACAGCGAAGTTCTGGCAGTCTGTTCATGTGCATTTTTTTCAAGTCCCAGTGGAAAGATCTGGATATTCAGGGAATTGTGGGCAGCCATCAGTGCTAATAAGTACCTACTGGCATTACTGAGCTGCATTGCCAGCATGTACATAGCCTTTGGTCATTAGTTGCTGCTGCTTAAGAGTGCTGATTCATACTACAGATGGTCCTTTTGTCAGAGATGCCTCACTCAAGAAGAGTCATAACTGTAACTGTGAGAAGTGCCATGGGAAGATATGAGAAGGGCAATTTTATAGGTGGATCTTGGCCTTTCTGTGTTGTAGGCTGTGCCTCTCAGGCTGGTGCCAGAGTACCATTATCCCCATTTCAGAAATAAACAGCAGTTGGCAGCTCAGACATTCTGCAAGCTCTGAGATTCCATTTTCTCATCACTGTGGTGACAGTGTACTGGTCTCCTCACCCATCCAAAGTGCTGCTTCATGACTGCTCTAGATAATTGTGTATATTTCCCAGTTGCAATAGGTTGGGACGTGAAATTGCCCCGTGGCTCTCAGAGAAGCTTGACTGGACCACAACCTATGCTGGTCTTCCCTCTTTACCTTTCATTCAGACACTTGCCTCTGCTGAAGAACTTTTTTTTTTTTATCAGAGATTGAACCCAGGGGTGCTTAACCATTGGGACAGCCCTTTTTAAATATTTTATTTAGATATTGGGTCTCACTTAGTTGCTTGGGGCTTGCTAAATTGCAAAGGCTGGCTTTGAACTTGCGATTCTCCTGCCTTGCCCTCCCAAGCCACTGAGATTATAGGCATGTACCACTGCACCTGGCTTGGCTGTTTTTGATACAGGAATGCAGAGAGCCCTTCCCATTACATATTTGGGCCTATGATATCTTGGTCACTCTTAAAAGAATAGTTCTTGGCTGAGTGTGGTGGCACATGACTGTAATCCCAGTGGCTCAGAAGGCTGAGGCAGAAGGATCGTGAATTCAAAGCCAACCTCAGCAACTTCATGAGACCCTATCTCAAAATAAAAAAAATAAAATAAAAAGAGCTGAGGATGTGACTCAGTGGTTGAGTGCCCGTGGGTTCCATACCTGTACTAAAAAGAATGTATTTTTTTTAACCACATATACATAAAAGATTTTGTTCCATTTACTGCCTTCCCACTTACAGATAATTTGCCTGATATTATAAATGGAGGGTGCCAAAGCTCATGCTGCGCCACAGGGCTAGGGAATGGGAAAGTTAGCATTCATATCTGTTGCTGACTCCAAATCCTTAACATAATTTCTCTCAGTTCTGGAAACTAGTGATTGCACATACCTGATCCCACAAGAAATGGTGCATCTCCCTGCAGGCAGCTTGGCAGAATCTCATCAATAAAGGAATTTCCATAGGGTTTTAGGGCCAACCATCAGGAAAAGAAATTCTTTTAAAGATGACTCCTCTTGCAGGCATGATGCCATATGCGTATAGTGGCAGTGACTTAGGAGGCCAAGGCAGGAGAATCCTAAGTTCCAGCCAGCCTCAGCAACTTAGACCCTCAGCAACTTAAGGAGAGACTGTCTCAAAATAAGAAATAAAAAGAGGGGCTGGGGTTGTGGCTCAGCGGTAGAGCACTTGCCTAGCATGTGTGAGGCCCTGGTTCCTCAGCACCACATAAAAATAAATAAATAAAATAAAGATATTGTGTCCAACTGAAGAATTAAAAAAAAAAAAAAAAGAACTGGAGATGTAGCTCAGTGATTCAGTCCCTCATACAGGGGAGGGTGAAAGGGAGGGGATGAATTGCCTAAGAAAACCAATAGTAACGTGTTGTTTTTTTGAGCATGTCATGTATCATACTACTAAATTACTTAATTCTTTCTACAGCCTTGTAAAGCAGGTAATCCTTTTGTCCACTGAGTAAACAAACTCAGAAGTTAGATTGGTGTACTGGGTCACTAAAGCCAGAAAATGGCAACAGTGAAGCTGAAAACTAGGCCAGCCTAAATCAAGGCCCAGCTCTTAACCATTGTGAACTACAAATCCCTACTTAGAATATATCATGAACACTTTTGTGAGTTGTTCTTAGAGTTCCTCTTGCATAAACTGTAGACAGGTCTACTTGCCAGGCATCTGGGAGGGAATTTGTATGAAGTTATAGTTTTCAAAAATTGAATCAGTAAGTTTGTATCTCCCTCTATAGTCAGTTGTCAGCAATTTTGGTAACATCTGTTCCATGACAGAACATCTCTTAAATCTTCTCAATCCCATGTATTCACTAAGTAAGACACATTTTTTAAAAAAATATTTATTTATTTTTTTTAGTTGTAGTTGGACACAATACCTTTATTTATTTATATGTGGTGCTGAGGATTGAACTCAGGGCCTTGCACGTGCTAGGGAAGCGCTACTCCGCTGAACCACAACCTCAGCCCAGACACATTTTTTAAAGTAGTTGATTTGATTTAGCAGTTTCTTTGGTTATCTCATTTTTTTWAAATATTAAATATGATTGTTTTATTTCAGCGTTTTTGAACAAAGATGGCAAATAATTGATCTTTTTAAAGTTCTCCATTTGAAAAGAAGAGTTTTTGTCTAATATTCTGTGTACATCCTTATACTATACCTGGTTTTATTAAAGGGCAGGGCACAAAGAATTCAGTTTAAAAAGCTGAGGATCCTTGGTAACAAAAGATCAACTTGACTTCCTTTACTCAATAGTCCAGATAATGGCCATCATTGCATATTGAGTCTCTATTGAAGGCGCACAGAGTTTGAAGCCATCGTTGGAGAAGGAGCTTGAACTTAAGTCCAGTTGTATAGATGTTGATGATGATCCTTTGTGGGATTCCTGACCCAGCCTCTGGAGTTGCTCCTGAAATGGTTTATCTACCTTTCCTGCTAARGGATGCTCTTTCCTAGAAACCATTGTCTTGACCTACACATAGCTGCAGCTCAGATGTTTGTTCTCACAGGGACTTGTTTGCTGAAAGTGCTCTCTTGTATGATTGATACAGGTATGAGGTCTGCAGCACCTGCGTGGATGGCTCGGAATGTGTCACGCTTCCAGTCTATTTCAGGGAGAGGAAGTCTAGACCATCGAGTACTTCCTCTGGGGCAGTACTATATGGGAGGCCACTGTTGGTTTCTGTTCCCAAGCACAAGCTGACTTTTGAGTTTTTGTACCAGGCTGTTTGTGATCGGATCAGGTAGGTAGCAGGAATATGATTTGGTTGTTATTGGAAATCAAGATAAGTCTAGTAATAGTAGTGATAGTCCCTATAAAGTGTCTAGGTTGATTTTATGTACTCACTTCTGTAAAGATGATAGTTAAGTGTGGTGGTAGTACACACCTTTAATCTCAGCTAATCAGAAGGCTTTGTTAGGAGGATAACAAGTTTGAGGCCAGCCTGGGCAACTTAGCAAGACCTTGTCTCAAAATAAAGAAGAAGAAGAAAAGAAATTCAGCTGTGCCAGCTTCTGGAAGGGCCAGAGTAGATGTCATTTGGGATATGGCATCTGGCACATTTAGATACCACAAACCTGGGCACTTAAGGCTCTGGGCCTTGGAATCATGTCAGTTACCTGTGTTAGGAATGCTAATGCTCTGATGCCATTTTGTATTTGAATATTTTTTCTGAAGTGCTCCACTATTATTCCAAACCTGATCATTAGCATTACTGGGAAATAGTTGAAAAAATCATGGTCCCACATGACATTCATAGAAGAAGCAGACTCTTTTTTTGGTGGTGGGGGTACTGGGAATTGAACCCAGGGTGCTTAAACCCTGAGCCACATCTCCMTCCCCTTTTTAATTTTTTGTTTTGAGACTGGGTCTTGATAAGTTGTTTGGGACCTCACTAAATTACTGAGGCGGGTTTTGAACTTGTGATCTCCTGCTTCAGCCTCCTGAGCCACTGGGATTACAGGTTTGTGCCATTTTGCCTAAGAAGCAGACATTCTTTATAGAATTGTTGATAGATTAAAAAGTATTGTGCCATTACATGTTTTTAAAGCATTTTTATTTCTGTAAATTATTTTACGAATAGCAGAATATATCAGTTATGAACTACTGGCTCTGTGTGGTGATACTAGCCTGTAGTCTTAGCTATGTGGGAGGCTGAGGCAAGAGGATCACAAATTTGAGGTCAGCCTGAGCAACTTAATAAAAAAGGGGTGTGGGTGTAGCTCAGTAATAGAGCATCTCTAGGTTAAATCCCCAGTACCAAAAAATAAATAACAATAATAATAAAAATGAAAATAAATTATGAACTACTACTTAGGTGCATAGTGAAGAAAAATAGTTAAATGTTAAAACTAACAATGTTTTTTTCTTTTTATTTTTTAAAGCCGCTATATAAAACAGCCTTTGCCTGATGAGTTTAGCCTCTTGCCCTTGGAGCCTGGGGCTTGCAATGGCTCCAGGGGCAGCTGTGAAGGTAAGTGTTTCCCCTGCACTGGGGGACTGAGACTAACCAGATTTCTCTTTTTCTTTTTGGTGTTAGGAATTGAATCCAGGGCCACTTTACTACTGAGCTACATTTCTAGCCCTTTTTATTTTTAATTTAATTTGAGTCAGGGTCTTTTTTTTTTTTTTTTTTTTTTTTTGAGAAAAGGGAAAAGAAGTTTTCTGCTTTGCTAGCAAAGGAGAAATGCAGGGGACTCCTGTCCCAGGGGCTATGATTCTGCCCATCAGCAGGAACAGGGGGCTTTTAAAGAGGTGAATCAAAGGCTACATTCCAAGTGTCTTCTGTTGCAGTTGTTGTAATTCACTTGTTAATTTGGTAGTTAGTCATTTTTGAGATCTTCTGGTACCATTGCCAAAGTCTGGATTACTTCCTTCCTATAGTGAATGTGTACTCAAGGACAGATAAATCTGTCTAAAATGGGGAAGGGTCATTCTGTTTCCCTTGAGATTAGGGAGTTGCAGGGAGAGAAGAAGAGAAAGAAACATGTCCATTTTAAAAAATAAGTTGCAGTGGCAGAGCAGCAAGAGCTATATTCAAAGCATAACGTGAACCTTGTTACATTTCTCCTCTGTTAATTTCTACATTCCGGGCTGGAGATGTGGCTCAGCGGTAGCGCGCTCGCCTGGCATGCGTGCGGCCCGGGTTCGATCCTCAGCACCACATACCAACAAAGATGTTGTGTCCGCCGAGAACTAAAAAAATAAATATTAAAAAAATTCTCTCTCTCTCTCTCTCTCCCTCCTCTCTCACTCTCTCTTAAAAAAAAAAAAAATTTCTACATTCCATTTCTATGGAAAAATGGGTGACAACATCTTCAAGTCACTTCCTATTCTCTATTAGGTGGGGCATGGACAGTTAAGGGTATTTAGCATCAGAGAAGTTTAGAGGTTCACATTGGCTGATGGCAGGTGACTGGACAAGCATATGCAGGTCAGGGGTCATGCTAAGACAATAATAAACAAGACAACAAAGCATTACTTTTAGTATTTTAGTCAGTCTCTGAAAACCATGAAGATAGTAACTCATAATCGTATCAGTGAAAAAACAGATGGAGTTTATCAATGTAGGAGGCTAGGAAGATTTGTACATCTATGAGATCAGGCTCAAATTAGGGCAAACTTGCAACTCTACAATCTTTGTTATTATTATTGGGCACTCCCACACAAGAACCCTTCCTTTATAGTCTCCAGCTTTACTTACTTTTCTAGTGCTGACACAAGTGTACATCTTAAGTTACATTAAAAAACAAAAGAAAACATTGTTTTTCCTTTTAAATATCCATGTAGGACTGTGTTTAGGCTATACTCTCCTGCCAGGTGTTTAAGACCTAGTTGGTCAAAATTGACCTTGTTCCTCTGAGATTCCTCAGAGTTCACTCTTGGGAACTTGTGCGAAGTCTCTTGGCTTCTTTAGCTTTTGAGGTAAGGTCTTAACTAAATTGCCCAATGTGACCATAAACTTGGGATTTTTATGCTTCAACCTCCAGAGTAGCTGACCAGCTTTCCCTCTTTTTCAAAGGTGTCATACTCATGGTAAAGAGAGGTTCTTTTTTTTTTTTTTTTAATATTTTTTAGTTGTAGATGGACACAATATCTTTATTTTTATGTGGTGCCGAGGATGGAACCCAGGGCCTCACGCATGTGAGGCAAGTGCTATACCACTGAGCTACCCCAGCCCAAAGAGAGTTCTTGAGGCTAATCTGGGGGCTCTTTAAGTTGAGTTTCACCTCAGGCACACCAAGCCTAAAGGATTGAGGGACTTGCTGAGGTCATGAAGCAGAGTCAGGATTTGAATTCTCTTCTGTTGGGAGTACAATGTGGGTATTTACTCATCACTGTAACTGCCTCTGTGTCCTGACTTCTATYGACACAGCTGTTGCATGTAGCTTGGATGGTGAGCCTTTGATCCCTAGGGAAGATACATGTCTTGGCCAATCAGAAGGCAGAGACAGGCTCTCCTGGGCATTTCTTTCTGTTTACCCAGGAAGCCACAGATGATGGCCGACTCTAAGAAGCTCCTGCTTTTGGAAGGAAAGAAATCAGTCAGAAAAGCAATATGATGGGCTTATTGAAGGAAACCCAGAGGCCAAGGGCTGAAAAGTAGTCCATATCTAATTAAGGAGCTATGTCTGATCTGTATTGTAGTTGTCACTCTTTTTGTGGGAAATTAGGTGAACCAGTGACTTATTTCTGTAAAACATAAATGATCTCCAAGTTGTGGTATAAATTCTCAATAGCAGATCCAAATGCCCAGATTTCTGTGAGGTACACACAGTCCTAGAAAGTGAGAATTGATGTTAAAAATGACCACAAGGCTCCATTTTAACATTCAGCATGTTTTTTATAGGGGAACTGAATACTTTTGCTTAATATTTGTTTTCATTATAGTATTTGAACATTGACTCCTGAATTATAAGTGGTGCTGAGGACTGAACCCAGGGCCTCACATGCTAGGCAAGCACTCTACCACTGAGCCGCAACCCCAGCCCCTTGAATTGTATTTCTTGAGGGTTTTTTTTGTTTGTTTGCTTTTTTGGTTTTTTGTTTGTTTTGTGGGGCTGGGGCTTGAACCCAGGTCCTTGTGCATGCAAAGCAAGCATTCTATCAGCTGAGCTATAGCCCCAGCCCTTAATTTGTATTTTTTAATGTACAGTCTTCTTAAGCATTGAGCGTGAATCTCATTTTAGTACTTTTCTCTCTGTGGACCTAATGATGAAGTTGAAAGAGTGAGAACACATAGTGTGAAGTCCAGTAGATTACCAAGTGTTGTAGGGCTCTGTTTAGAATGACAGGACTGCTGGATCACTTTGTTGCTCTGGGAGACTCATTTAAGTTCTCTGGGTCTCTACTTCCTTATCATGGAAGAAGTGTCTACTCTGCTCATCTTGTCTCTTTCTCAGAGAGGGTCACACGTGAACTCAAGTGCCTGATAAGTGCAAAGGGGTAGATGTAGTTTCACATACACAGAGCAAAATCTTTAAGGAAACATCATCATAGGTTTTAAATAAAAATTTTAACATTGAAATGGTGACATGAAATCCGTGTTATTTTCATTTGTATTACAGGAGATGATGAAGAAGAAATGGAGCATCAGGAAGAAGGCAAAGAACATCTTTCAGAAACAGAAGGTAGTGGGGAAGATGAGCTAGGAGGTGACCCCAGTGAGACTACTCAAAAGGTCAAGGGCCAACCCTGCCCCAAAAGACTTTTTACCTTCAGTCTTGTGAACTCCTATGGAACAGCTGACATAAATTCACTTGCAACTGATGGAAAACTACTCAAACTCAACTGTAAGTACTTTCTCTAACTTTTCAACCTGGGTTTTGGGGATGTGGGATCTATTTGAAAAATCCTTGCTCTTGACACCCACAGCATTGGGCTTTCACAGTCTTTGGCTCTGGGAGCAGACACCTGTGTGATCTTTGCCTCTAAGGACATTTTCAGCAACCACCCTCTTCCCCCTTCATGCTTTTATCTTCAGTCCTTAATGACCTCAGAAGGAAGCAGGTCTCTAGTTATTCCCACTATGCTTTAGAACCTTTGCTGTGGATCAGTGGTACTTCTGTTTCCACTCTTGGTAGCAGCATTTCCTCAAATTAAAACAATTCAGAATGAATAATTAAATAAATACTCATGGGGGATGAAGCTATGGAGCTACAACCACAGTTTTTATTTTTGATTTTTTGTAGTAGTGGGGGTTGAAACCAGGTGTACTCTGACACATTCTTAGCCCTTTTAATTTTATTTTATTTTGAGACATTTTCTAGCTAAGTTACCTAGGCTAGGATTGAATTTGTGATCCTCCTACTTCAGCCTCCTGAATTGTTGGGATTACAGTCGTGTGCTACCATGCCTGACTGCGTACTGCTTTTTGATCCAGAAAATGATCACAAAATATGATCCTCTGTATAAGATAGTCATGGCTCGCATAGATTCTCCATTGTTTGGAGCCTGTAATGGGACTGCTATACAGATAGAGAGAGGTATCTACAATGTTTGTGATGCCTCCATGGTTATGGAGGGGAGCTACCATGCCTTTTGGCTTCCTTCATTGGGAAAGAAATTGACTGGTAAACTAGATGTCCTTGAACTAGCTAACTAGTTTGCTTCCTTCCTTCCTTCCTTTGATTCTTTTTTATTAGTTATATCTCCTTTTAATTTTAATTTTTTGGGGGGTTCTTACCAGGGATTGAACTCAGGAGCACTCAGCTACTGAGCTACATTCCCAACCTTATTTTGTATTTTATTTAGAGACAGTCTCACTGAGTTGGATAGCGCCTCACCATTGCTAAAACTGACTTGGAACTCTCAATCCTCCTGTCTCAACCTCCTGAGGCACTGGGATTACAGGCGTGCACTGCTGCACCTGTCTTTATTTTAACATTTTTTAACAAACTGGGGATTGAACCCAGGGCCTCACACATGCTATGCAAGTGCTCTACTACTGAATTAGATACCCACCCCCCCTTATTTATTTATTTATTTTTTTATAAATTAATGTATTAATTAGGTGTATATGACAGCAGAATGCATTTTGATTCATTGTAYACAATTGTAACACAATTTTTCAATTCTCTGGCTGTACACGATTAGGGTCACACCATATGTGCAGTCATACATGTATTTCGGGTAATGATGTCCATTTCATTCTACCATCTTTCCTGCCCCTATACCCCATCCCCGCCTCCCTCCCCTTTGCCCAAACTTCCTCCATTTTTCCCATGTCACACCTACCCCATCCCACCCCCGGCCCCCAGTCCCAATGGATCAGCATCCACTTTTTCAGCCTTTGGGTTTTKGGGATTGACTTACTTCGCTTAGCATGATATTCTCTAACTTCATCCATTTACCTGCAAATGCCATAATTTTATTCTCTTTTAATGCTGAGTAATATTCCATTATATACCACAGTTTCTAAGTCCTTTGGGTATACACCAAGGAGTGAGATAGTTGGGTCAAATTGTGGTTCCATTTCAAGTTTTCTAAGGAATCTCCATACTGCTTTCCAGATTAGTTGCATAGTTTGCAGTCCCACTAGCATTGTATGAGTGTGCCTGTTCCTCTACATCCTCACCGACATTTATTGTTGTCTGTAATTTTTTTTAATATTTATTTTTTAGGTGTAGTGGGACACAATACCTTTATTTTATTTATTTGTTTTTATGTGGTGCTGAGGATCGAACCCAGGGCCTCACATGTGCTAGGCAAGTGCTCTACCGCTGAGCCACAACCCCACATTACACAACCCCTATTATCTGTATTCTTTTTTTTTTTTTTTTTTTTTAGTTGTAGATAGACACAATACCTTTACTTTATTTATGTAGTTCTGAGAATTGAATTCAATGCCTCATACATGCTAGGCAAGCACCCTACCACCCTACCCTACAACCCCAACCCTTCTCTGTATTCTTAATAACTGCCATTCTGACTGGTATGAGATGAAATCTCAAATGATCTCAAATGAGTAGTTTTGATTTACATTTCTCTAATTACTAGAGATGTTGAACATTTTTTCATATATCTGCTGATTGAATGTATATCTTCTCCCCCCTTATTTCTAWTAAAAAAAAAAAAAGCATCATTGAGATATTTTTGGATCTGTCTCTAGCTATCTGTACTTCTGTCATCTCTGCAACTTCATCCTCTGTAGTACAGAACCTTTCAGATTCTAGCCATCTCCTAAAGCTTCAATCTTTGATTCCTCAATTCAGTTTCCCCCACTTTGTCCCTCTTTCCCCCAAACAGTAGCCTGGAATCTGTCTGTAGGCAGTAGCTGGGGACAGTGTAGGTGACTTTGTTTTCTGTCTCAGGGTCCTCTCTCCTCTGCCTGTGTCTTTGGAACCTATCTGTAGCACTGATGTGCCAAAGGCTTTGAGGGGTTGGGGTTTGGAAGGGCTGGTCCAAGTTCAGCCCTTATTCTTTCTTTCTTTTTTTTTTTTTTTTAAGTTGTAAATGGACACAATACATTAATTTTTAAAAATTTATTTATAAGTGATGCTGAGGATCAAACCCAGTGCCTCATATGTGCGAGGCAACTGCTCTGCCACTGAGCCACAATCCCAGCCCCTTGGCCCTTATTCTTGACAGTGGACATTAGTGAATGAGCAGTGTTGCTGCTGCCTCAGTGAGGCCCTTCTCCCTTTGGTCACTTGGAGAGCCTCTGCCGTTGCTGGCCATTTTGCAATGAATGACACATTGGTCCCCCTTGCAGCTCGATCCACACTGGCCATCGACTGGGACAGTGAAACCCGGAGCCTTTACTATGATGAACAAGAATCTGAGGTAGGTCTCTAGGGGTTCGTGGTCAGAAATACACGCTAGTTTCTGCCCTGGAAGTGTATTAGCTATATTCTTATATTCTTACCAGTTGGACAACAGTTTAACAAGGTGTGTTTTGTTTGTTTGTTTGTTTTTCTTTTATGGTGTTACTGGGGATTGAATTTAGGAGTGCTTTACTACTGAGCCCTTTTGATTTTGTTTTATTTTTATTTTGATACAAGGGCTTGCTAAATTGCCCAGCTTGGCCTAGAACTTGTGATCCTCTTTTCTCAGCCTCCTGAGATCCTAGGATTGCAGGCATTTGCCACTGCACCCAGCCAGCAAATTTAAGACCAAGGACAAAGCCGGGCTGAGTAGCCCATGCCTATAATCCCAGTGATTTGGGAGCTGAGGTAGTAGGATYACAAGTTCGAGGCTAGCCTGGGCAACTTAACAAGACTCTGTCACAAAATAAAAATAAGGGCTGGGGATATAACTTAGTAGTAGAATGTCCCTGGATTTAATGCCATTACAGTGGGGAAGAAGGGGGCAGCACCTAAGATTTCATCATTTCATATTCAGAGGCTCCAGAAGTATATTCCAGGAAGAGCCTCTCATAGGCCTTTATGTTTTGACTCAGTAAGATCTTGGTTCCCCTACAGAACTAGCACTTTTTTCTTATAGGCCTACGACARGCACATGAGCATGCTGCAGCCTCAGAAGAAGAAGAAGACTGCAGTGGCCCTGAGAGACTGCATTGAACTCTTCACCACCATGGAGACCCTTGGGGAGCATGACCCCTGGTATGTACCTTCTCACTCTCAGGGCAGGGCCACCTCTGTGCTCCAGAATCTGAGACCTGCTGGTATCTGTACCCAAAACCTTTTACTGGGGCTGGGGATGTGGCTCAAGTGGTAGCGTGCTGGCCTGGCATGCGCGAGGCACTGGGTTCGATCTTCAGCACCACATACAAATAAATAAAGATATTGTATCCACCTAAAATTAAAAAAAAAAATCTTTTACGTGCACATGCCACTTTTTCACATGGCCAGCCCTATAACATAGCCCTTCTGTTTGGGTTGTGTTTTCCAGACTAAGAAAGCCATTGGCCTGTTTTGGAACGCAGGTCCTTGCCCAAAATCTGTCCTTAAGAATAGCAGCTATTGTGGTATTACAGCTGTGTCCCCAGCATGAGTACCCCGGTAGCAATGGCTCCCCTCATCTCCTGCTAAGCAGAGACTTTTCTTTTCTCTTCAGGTACTGTCCCAATTGTAAGAAGCACCAGCAGGCCACAAAGAAGTTTGACCTGTGGTCCTTGCCCAAGATCCTGGTAGTCCATCTCAAACGTTTCTCCTACAACAGATACTGGAGGGATAAGCTTGATACAGTTGTGGAATTCCCAGTCAGGTGAATCCCTATGACTGAAGTGTTAGGAAAAATTTAGAAACATGCAGGAAATATGGACATTGATTTGCTAAGAGGTTTGTTACCAAAGACTTTTCTGAATTAGGATGTATGTTGTTGGGCTTTGTGAGGTAGACTTTGATTGTAGTAATTGTTCCCCTCCCTATCCTCCCATGGGGAAGAGACTCCACTAGAAGCCCTTCCCTAGACTTGGGGGGCTGCTAATTCTCTGTTACTCTTGGTCCCCCTCTCAAATCCCTGATGCCACATAACTGGCCTTTCCCAGTCCATCATTGGTCCCAAGGAGCCTGGCCTCAACAGTGGCAATACAACACAGTGGTACCTCTATTAACAGGGGCAAGGTGGTCAGAGGGCAATCTGCAGAGAGACCTGGATGATTGTTGGGGCTTCAGGTAGGGTGCAGACCTGCTACAGTCCTGTTTCTGAGGTAGCAGCTGGGACTAGCTATCTTCTCAGGTCCCCTCAGGACCCAGGGTATTAACTGTAACTAAGACAGGAAAGCAAGCCAACCAGATAGGTTAAAAATGCTTTCTGGAGGGAAAGGGTAGGGTATGTCCTTAAAATATAGGAACAATGTCCATGTGAGAATCTAGTGGTGGGTAATGAGTATTTGTTGTAAAATTCTTATCTTTTCTTTACTTGAAAATTTCAGAATGAAGTGTTTTAAGTCCATGCATGGTAAACACATGCCTGTAGTCCCAGCTTCTCAGGAGAATGAGGTGGGAGATTATTTGAGCCTAGGAGTTAGACCAGCATGGGCAACATAGCAAGACCCTATCTGAAAAACAGAATAAGATGTTGTAGGAAAAAAGCTTTCTGAGGACTGTTTTGGTATTTGGTTTAAATGACTATGGCACCAATTGTAATTCTGTTATTAATAACCACTTCTTCCTAGTTGCTGAAGTCCTCTTGTCTATCTCCAGACCCTCACCTTCCATTTGGTCTGGTGGCAGTTACCCAGGAGGCTTCTCCTAATTTCTGGCCTGAATATGTCAGTGGTCAGAGCACAAAGTCAGGCTTTGCATAGTCTTTTCATTTATTCAGTGCCATAGTCTTTTCATTTATTTCTTCTCTCTTTCTCTCTCTCTCTTTTTTTGGGGGGGTTGGGTGGGCTGGGGGAGGGGTTCCAGGAATTGAACTAAGGGCACTCAACCACTGAGCTACATCCATAGTACTGTTTTTGTATTATATTTGAAGACAGGGTCTCACTGAGTTTCTTAGTGCCTCACTGTTGCTGAGGCTAACTTTGAACTCATCAGCCTCCTGAGCCCCCTGGGATTACAGGCATGCAGTATCATGCCTGGCTATTTCTTCTCAAATAGTTTTTTTGAGTGCCTCTCTTATGTTCTGGCCAGTTAGATGAAAGAGATTGCTGGGTTGCTCTGACTTCTTTCTCGGAGTTTAAAATATTTAAGAGCTATTCTTGTGTTTTGTTCTTAGAGCTCTGAACATGTCTGAGTTTGTCTGTGACTTGTCAGCAAGGCCTTACGTGTATGACCTCATTGCTGTGTCTAATCACTATGGAGCCATGGGGGTTGGCCACTGTAAGTATTGGTAGCTGCTTCCTTCTGAGGTGTTGGCTTGTGCAGTTCTGCAAGCTTCAGGCTACATGCTTTTTCAACACCATTGCTTCACCATGCTTTTTGTTTTGTTTTAAAATTCTTAATTTTTTTTTTAATATTTATTTTTTAGTTATCGGCGGACACAACATCTTTGTTTGTATGTGGTGCTGAGGATTGAACCCAGGCCGCACGCATGCCAGGCGAGTGCGCTACCGCTTGAGCCACATCCCCAGCCCAAATTCTTAATTCTTTAATTCAGTAATTCTTGTTTCTGGGAATTTGTCCTAAGGAACTGATTTGACATTAGAGGAAGCTTTATGCCCAAAGATGTTCATCTCTTTATAACAGTGAAAAGTTAATAGCTGCCTTGGTGATCAACAGTTGGCACTATTGTCCATCTACTTGATTAAGGAACTCATAGCCATTTCAAAATAAAATTAATAGGGGCTGGGGATGTGGCTCAAGCGGTAGCGCGCTCGCCTGGCATGCGTGTGGCCCGGGTTCGATCCTCAGCACCACATACAAACAAAGATGTTGTGTCTGACAAGAACTAAAATAAATAAATAAATTCTTTCTCTCTCTCTCTCTCTCTCTCTCTCTCTCTCTCTCTCTCTTTCTCTCTTTCTCTCTCACTCTCCCTCTCCTCTCTCTTTAAAAAAAATAAAAATAAAAAAATAAAATTAATAACATGGGGGAAATGGACTGTGTACATGAAAACTGCTATATAAAATTATATCATTACAAAAGGTGGAATTACAACTATGTGAAGTTAAAAAACAAAATGTTATTGGGGGTTGAGACTGGAAGGAGAGACACTGAATTGTTTATTCCACCCCCCCCCTTTTTTTTTTGCTTTACTTTGTGTCTCAAAAAAAATTTTTTTTGATATTTTTTAGTTGCTGATGGACCTGTATTTTATTTATTTGTATGTGGTGCTGAGAATCTATCCCAGTGACTTACGCATGCCAGGCAAGCATGCTACCACTGAGCGACACCCCAGTCCTATGTCTCAAAATTTCTAAAACATGTAGGTTTAGTTTTAAAATTAAACTTATGTTTTGTTACTTGTTTATGGGAAATGCTACTGAAATAGAAGTGAAGAATTGGATTTCCTTACATTTCTGTCTACTACATGTGCATTGGGCTGCCAACACACCCAGTATTAGGTCCCCAAGACATAATTCCTTGGAAAGGGTCAGTTCCATTTATACTAGATTACAGAACTGCCCTGATCTTTTAAATTTTCTCCCTGTACTAATAAGATATAGAAATTGGCCTGAAAGTCTGCTCTTTCATCTCTCTAGTAGTAGTAGTTGTTGTAGTTGTAGTAGTAGTAGTAGCAGTAGTAATAGTAGTAATACTGGGGATTGTACCCAGAAATACTTTACCCACTGAATTATATCCCCTATCCTTTTTGTTCTGTTTTGAAGGAGGGTCTTACTACCTTGCTGAGGCAGGCCTGAAACTAGAAATCTTTCTGCTTTAGTCTCCCAAATAGCTGGGATTATAGCATGTGCCACTGCTCCTAGCCTGGCCCTCCATTCTTACCATATCACCTTCTAGCTTCAAATGCCTGCTCAGTCTCCAGCCCTCATGTTTGCATTCTATTCCATCAGAAGGGGGGGTGGGGGAGGCAGACATCCCAGAATCCCCATCAACTCTTCTACATACATTTCATTGAGTATAACTGAGTCATACAGCTCCATATAGTATAGGAGAGGCTGGGAAAATAAAATAAAATAAAATAAAATGTTTGAAAATCGGGCCCTGACAGTAATTTTAAAACTTTATTTTATTAGTTTACTTTTTTATGTGGTGCTGATTTTTTTTTTTTTCATGTGGTGATTAAACCCTGTGCCTCACACGTGCTAGGCAAGCACTCTACCACTTGAGCCACAACTCCAGCCCCATCCATTAGTAATTTTTGATCATGTTATATATCCTGCTGTTCTATAACTTGCTATTTTTCCTTATAGTTAATTTTGACATCTGCTTAAGTTTCTCTGTTCAAATGTATTCATTTTTAACTGCTATTTAAAAAAAACAAAAGACACAAACTGTAAACTATTTTTAATTTCAGTGCTATTTATTTATTTAGTGCAAGCCTAGTAAACTATCCAGTTGACTCTTTAGTATTTTGTTTATTACTTGACAGACACTGCATATGCAAAAAACAAACTAAATGGAAAATGGTATTACTTTGATGATAGCAACGTGTCCCTGGCCTCTGAGGACCAAATTGTGGTGAGTATGCTGACTGGATTGATTCTGTCTCTGGACTTAATGGATTAAAGTTGAGAAGAGTAGCTCTCAGGCTTGTTGGTTACCTAATCATTCTCATGTGACAGGGGGAGCTGGGTGTGGTAGAGTTGACCTGCCCTTTGTTTAGGATCCTTTCTAAAGGAAAAGCTCAACTTTCCTCAAGGCTCTATGCCATAGGGTACCCACCATTCCCCACTGGCCTGGCAGGAGCCAGCCTCAGGTAATAGTCCCTTCTTAGTCATCTCTGTATGGATATCCAGAGCAAGATGGTTGATCTTTGAGAGTGTTGAATAGTGAGAAATAACCTGGGACAATGGGTAATTTTACCAACCAGTGGATGGATTCTCCCCTCTTGTGTTTCAGACAAAAGCCGCTTATGTGCTGTTCTACCAGCGACGGGATGATGAGTGTTATAAGACACCTTCACTCATCAATTTTCCTGGTTCCTCTGATGGAGGGACCAGGCCAAGCAGCTCACAGCAAGGTTTGGGGGATGATGAGGCTTGCAGCATGGATACCAACTGATGCTGACTCAGCGACCCTGCCTCTCCACAGAACCCAGCATCCCCCAGGAGAATGTCTTTGGCACTTGGAAAACTGCTTGTGTTCAATTTAAAAAGCCAGATGAGGAAATTCCCTTCTTTTTTGAGCAGAAGACAAAAAAAGACCCTGTTTGCTTAGAAGGATTGTCAAGAGCCTGAATTATTTTTCTTTTTAAACAGGCGGTGAGATAAAGCCTGTGGAACTGAAAGTGGGAGGTGGGTGGGGGTGCACAATGGAGTATGTCTGATGGATTCCAAAGAATGGAGACAAACACACTGTAATTGAAGGGTGCAGCCATGAAGACCCACTTGCAGGGCTGCTGTGAGCTCCTGGATATCTGGTTCTGGTACCCATACTGGTCACCCCAGTAGTCTGGCCACAGTAAACCGAGCCTCAAGTAAACTTGATGTTGTCCATTTGTCCTTTGCTCTTCCCTGAGATGGGTTTATAATTTTCTAAAATTAGCACTGAAGCCCATTTGTTTCTCCTTTGAGTCGTTTTGGAATTTCCAGCTTTCCTTCTGATAATCAAATGAAAATACTTAGTATTGAGGTCTCTCAACCTCCTGTGGAACCTAGCAGTTATGTTTTGTCCCCCACTGTCTTTGATGAATTGAGACAGATTCTGTGTGGAACTTTTATCAGACACCCCTTAAAGAAGTCTATTCACAAAACTGCCGAGTACAGTATCCAGTTGTTTGTCCATGTTGACTTGAGAACAGAACCTTCATGGGAATTTGTTAAGCCTGGAAAAGGGCTCTCATTCAGTGGTTTGGGTAATGCATTTTCATAATAGGCCTTTCCAGACCTGGTTTTCTCCCTGACCCTTCTGGAAACCCCACAACTGGCCGCTTGCCCCCATTCTGGTGCCCTACATTATCCTGCCTCCCTCTGTGTACCAGGCCTTTGCTGCCCCTGCTGGCCACGAGGGTTTAAAGAACATTGTAGTCCGGGCTTTTTTGTCTGACCTTTAACCTAATCTGTGGGGGTTGGGACCGCTGTCTTTGGGCACGCGCGGTCCAGCGCGCGCAGTGACCGTTGAGGGCTGTGGTGTTTCCGCGCTGCTCGGTGAGGATAGGGCTGGAGCTTCTGAGTCCCATGGCCTGTTGGAGCAGGGGCAGGGCAAACGGGTGGGCTATGGTGGTATAGACTTGGGGGAGAAGTGGGGGAGGCTGGGGAAAGTGTGACAGGGAATGGTTTTTGGGGTGCGTCCCTCCCAAGAGCCATGGCAGGAGGGAGGCTGAGCTGGTGGGGGTCTTCCCACTCGGTCCTATAGCCTGGGATAACCTCAAGGAAGGTGTGGCAAGATCCCCTTTCAGGCTGATTGGCAGCCTCCTCTGTACCCTCATTCTCGTGTTACTCTGTGCATTTCCAATGTATTACATAATAAAGACATGGTCCCTTTTAGGGGAAATGTCTGAAAAACTAAGAAGATGCAGAAAGGAGCTGACCGCAGCCATTGACCGGGCCTTTGAAGGAGTCAGTCATTCCCAGGAGTGCACAGGCCTGCAGAGGCTAGAGCCAGGTGCCACATCGCTTTCCTTCTCCCTACCTATGCACAGGCTTCTCTGTAGAGGACACCCTCTGGCAGCCTGCTCCTCTACTGCCCTGTTTGCTGCTGCCCCTTGTGCTTCTGAGAATGAGAACCCTGCCTTTGTGCCATACCATGTCCCTGTTAATGCAAAACCACATGCTTTATGCCCCAAAAGAAAACCTCTGGCCAGCAAGGAAAATGTGTTGATGCACTCCTCCATTTTGGCACCTGAAAGACCGTTTTGGAGAGCTGCAGGAGATGGGGAAAACTGGAGAAAAGAAAGTTTAAGGTGATTCTGATTTGATAGTTTAATAACTACAATTAAGAAGATTCYTGTTTCTGAAAAAATTGTTGAAGATCCTAGAGTCAATTCATGCCTCCTCTTCGGATCTGCAGGACTGTTTGGGAAGCTCGCTCACAAATATTCTCTAGAATTTAGCCCAGAAAACAAGTTATATGTGTATGTGTTTGGGTTGAGGGCCTGGTTGTCAATTCTGGATGTTAAACCAGTCATGGAAACGACTTTGCAGTACTCAAAGGAGTAATGAATGTTAAAAATTTTTTTAAATGACCTCATTTTTTTTTTTATGCTGCAGAAACAAAACTTTTTTTTTTTAAAGAGAGAGAGAGAGAGAGAGAGAATTTTTTAATATTTATTTTTCACTTCTCAGTGGACACAACATCTTTGTTGGTATGTGGTGCTGAGGATCGAACCCGGGCTGCACGCATGCCAGGCGAGCGTGCTACTGCTTGAGCCACGTCCCCAGCCCAGAAACAAAAATCTTAATCCTAAATTTTTAAAATTCCATCTTGTGTTTGAACTTGGGGTACTGGAACCTTTGATACCTTCCTTTGTCTACGTTAGGGAGAAGTTGAATCAAAGGCTAGACCCTACTGGGCCCTACTTCCTAGTGTTGTCCTTGCTTCTGCTCCCCTACACTACCCTGAAGTCTTTGAACTGTCACCTGGTTAAGTCTCCCCTAGATCTCTCAAACTGCCTGGTCCCAAGCACCTTGACTTTGAGCAGGGCTAACCATATATGCTGGGTTCAGTGGCATAAACCTGTAATCCCAGCAGGTTGGGAGGCTGAGGCAAGAAAATTGTACAAATTCAAGGCCAGCCTGGAAAATTTAGCAAGATACTGTTTCAAAAAATTCAAAAGACTGGCAATGTTGCTCAGTGGTAGCACACCACTGGGATCAGTACCCAGTACTGAAAGGGTGGAAAAAAAGTCCTGCCATCTTGGCTGCCCAGTGGAATAAAAGCTAAAACTCCTCAAGTATTTATATTGATGTTCATAAGCATTAATGCAGACTGTGATGCTTGTGAGTCATTATGATAATGCTATTAGTCAATTTCTTCACTGATTAACAGACTGATTATTCTGTAATCACAGCATAAATGACAATTTAARGTCAACAGTAATCTAACATTTTCCCCTCCAATATTTTCTTGAAAGAGGATCTAATTCCCCACCTTTTTCCCCCCTCCTGGGGCTACAGGAAAGATATGGAGAGAGATTTGAAAGTTGACTCAAACATGCCGCTCAACAATTCTAGCCAAGAAGTCACAAAGGATTTGCTGGATATGATTGGTGAGTACAGAGGGTTGGGCCATCGTCTTCTTGGGAGAATAGGTCCTTTATGCAGGCAGAGGGCCCATATGTCTTAGAGGGAGCTGGGTGATAAGAACTTTTCATTTTCCATATGTGGTGGATTTGTTCTACTCGCAATAGACTCTGCATAGAGCAGCAAATTAGTCAAACCCTGTTCCTTTCTTCACAGAACTGATAACCTAGTGAGGTCACACGTCAATCAGGTCATTTCATAAATGTCTAATTATTGAGTCCCCAAAGGCAAAGGATGCCAGCCTCCATGACTTGGTCCTTGAGCTTAGATCCGAAGTAAACAGGACATAGGCAAAGAGGAAGAGAGAGGGGCTGGGGATGTGGCTCAGTGCTAGAGCAGTTTCCTGGCACATGTAAGATACTGGGTTTGTCCCCATCACAACATAAAAATAAATAAATGAAAATAAAGGTACTGTGTCCATTTACAACTAAAAATTTAAAGAAGGAGKAGGAGGAAGAGAGAGGAGTCCAGCTGAGTAAAAAAAGATTTGATGCCAAAAGCTCTCCTATACTTCCCCCCACCCAGAGAGAGTCACTGTTAACATAATAGTATACAGTTTGTCAGACATGCTTTCTAACACTGGGTATTGAAACCAAGAGTACTTTACCACTGAGCTATGTCCCCGGTCCTTTTATTTTTTAATTTTGAGACAGGGTCTCTACATTGCCAAGGAAGGATCTTACTAAATTTCTGAGACTGATTTTGACCTTTGCCATACTTCTTCAACCTCTTGAGTTGCTGGGATTATAGACATGTGCCACTGTGCCTGGCTGTATGACTTTTTAAATGATTCATATTACACAGTGGACAAACAGTTCTAGTTAAGGGATGTATAGTCTCGAGTGCTGCTTGAAGCTGGTCTCCAGGTTATGAAGGATGGGAGGGAAGCCTGACAGAGGGGTGGTACTCACCTTAGGCTATAAAACCTTGGCCAGCCTGTGACTTAGTGGACTRAGTCTCCTACAGTAGCCCCAGGAGATAACTGAAATCATCACTGCCTCTGCCCACCATCTCCTTGGCCCTCACCAGCAGCAGGCAGCATTTTGATTCCCCTGAAGACCTTTTTTGTTTCACACCATGTCTTCATCTGTATTAGGGAGTTCCCTGAGAGCCAAGACAAGTGTGTGCATTTCTATGTCTTTCCACTTAAAACTTAGGAACTGGCAGATAGTTGGGGATGGATAAACGTTTGTGTCTGAAAGGAATACACCAAGCCCACCTTACTTTGGCATTCAGTCTGGCAACCTGTCTGCCCTGGGGTAAGAATGCCCAGCTCTGCCCAATCTCTCACACTTGTGGTTTTTAACTGGTGCCTGAAATGTCTTTAGAAACCTCTCCTTGGAATTGTAAAGCTGAGTGTTCTTATCTTTAAGACCATACAAGCATCCGAACTATTGAAGAATTGGCTGGAAAACTAGAATTTGAAAATGAATTAAACCGTGTGTGTGGTCACTGCCAAGATTCACCCTTCAAGGAGGAAGCCTGGGCCCTGCTTGTGGATGAGAGCCCTCAGAAGTCTTCAGATGTAGACACTGGCAGCCTTAAGCAGGCTTTCGATGATCAGAATATTGTCGAGACTGTTCTGGATTTGGAAGAGGACTACAACTTGATGACCTCTTTTAAATACCAAATTGAGTAAGGAGAGTTGCTTTTAGCTTTGATTCTTTACAGTAGAGGCTGCCATCAAGTACTCTATGCAGAAGCATCCACAGTGATCATCAGGAGCTGCATTTTCAGAGGGCCGGCAGAAGCTGAATTACCACACCCTTTTTTTAACTTAAGTTGTGTCCCTTTTKGGGCTGAGAGCCCAGTTTTTGTATTCTGTTGCTTTGAGATATTTCATATTGTTATTTTTTTTTTTTACTCAGTGTTTTGAAAGTGTTTTGTTTTTGATTAATATTCAGTATACCTAGTCCTAAAGGTAGGTATGGGTTGCATCTCTGCTGCATCTCTTGGTATTCTTTATTTCCTGGGTCCTTGAAAAAGTATGGGAGCTATAACCAGAATGGGCTTTGTACAACCCCTGGTACCAGCCCACCCCTAGGCCAGCTCAGCCTATGCAGAAGAATCYGCAACAAGCTAGACCTTGGTGTGGATGCTCTGATCCCCTTACATATTTGGCTCCCCTTGCACACATAGCTCCCTGTTTCTTACATATGTCCCATGGCCTCTTCATGTCCCAAACTACCTGCTCAGTTCAGAGAGTAGCCTCTGCAGAGGTTTCTTTCTGGCGGCAGAGTTGCTGGCAGATTCCCTCCTAACAGGATGTTCCTATGAGGCCTCCCTACTATGTACCCCCACACAGACACCTGGGCCCCAGATGAGGGTAGGAGGAGAGGGATAGATACAGGATCTGTACCTACATCTCATCCATCCATCCCTCTGCAGGTCTGGCTACCATGGGTGGATTCCATGGCAGGGCAGTGAATGAAGGAGGGGCCAGGCTCCTGCACTCCGAGGTCAGCCTAACAGCAAAAGCATAGCAGGGCTGAACTCCGATGCCACCCCTAGAAAAAAAAGACATCACCAGAAACTATTTACACAAAATTTCAAAACCATGTCATCTTCTCAGGAAAACTAATAAACTGTTGGGCAAGTTTTTATATTTCTCAGAAACTGAGTCTCAGGGACATGCCTATCTTCCCAGCTAATAAGGGAAGATGGGACTGGGGAGGCTGGCACTGTGTTGAACAGATCAGAACTTGGGAAAAGGCTGGTGGCTGAGTAACTGCCCACTAAGTCAGCTTCTAGGCCAGTGACCCTGGAATAGGTCTAATTAGCAGACTATAGTCACATACTTTCACCACAAATCTGGTGATTCTTTGGGCTTGAAGGCAGAGATCACAGACACACTACCCACTCCTTAGTAGAGCTCAGCCCAGCACCTGACTGTGCCCTCAAAACTATGGTGCAGCTGGACTCTGGCCACTTTGTACTTTTGGCCTCCCTAGTGGGTGTTCATTTGTTGCCACCTACTTATGAGAAGAGGACAGGCTAGCTAACCAGAGGCTCTTCTTAGGCTACTTGCCACTCAGTGCCTACAGAAGGCAGCATTCTCAATAAGCACAGCCTGTGGAGTTGGAGGTCAGGTTCTTAGTGCTTACAGCATCCTTGGCTGCCCTTGCTTAGGTGAAGAATGAATGATCTGAATAGATGTCAGGCCATTTAATTTCATAAAAGCAGATCTCAAACCAGCACATATGAATACTCATAGAGGAGGAGGAGCTCAATTACCTTACCCTACCTCCTTACCCCCCTACCACCTCTTATGGTTGAGCTGGACTTAGTGACTTTATCCCAATATCTAAAGGAAAGAAAAATCGTAAAGGTACAGTGGGAAGCCTGAAGGCACCACCTTAACCAAGTGATTTAACATMAATGGTGTCATGTGGATGTTACACATACCCCAACAGGATGCCAAGAGTGCTTCACCTTATGGTATTCACCAAAACCTATATCCCCACCTAGTGCGTAACCATGAGACAAATGTCAGATAACTAAAATTGGAGGACATGCTACAGGATCCCCTTGGCCAGAACTCAAGTCAAGGTCATGGAAAACACTCAAAAACTCTCACAAATAAGTAGGTACTAAAGAGAGACAATGACTAAACAAAATGTGCAATTCTGGACTGCATCCTAGAACAGAAAGAGGACATTAATAGAAAAACTGATGAAATCCAAATAATGTCAAAACGTCAATTTCCTAGTTTTGACACACATACCACAGTTTTGTAAGATGTTAGCCCTGGTGAAAGGTATATATGAGCTCATATCTTTGTCAATTTTTATGTAAGTCTAAAATTATTGCAAATTTTTAAATGTTTTTAACAAAAAATTGCAATAGATGGAAGGTCTTTGAGAATATGTATGATCAAATATGAATATGTATGATATGTAATGAGGGGCAATAAGGAGTATAGTCTTTTTTGTATTTTCTAATTTATCTGTAACCTGTATCACCTCTGTAAAAAGAAATTAAAGCTTTTTGGTTTTGCTTTTTCATGGTCTAGGGATAAAACCTAKTCATACAAGCTAAGCTAGTGTTCTACCACTGAGCTCCATTCCCAGCCCTAAAGTTGTTTTTATTAAAATCAACTAGCCATGGGTATCCTCATCAATACCTGCCAGACCCAATCAGCCCAGTATCTAAGTACTGGGTAGAAAGTCATGGGGTCACAACAGGAGGCCTTGGCAACACTGTTGTAACAAGGGGGCTCCCTTCCCTGAGGGTGCTGGATCTTTAGGTTGGGTGCACTAGGATTCACAGAGTAATTTTTGGGGGGGGGGCGGGGGGAGTTACACCAGGGATTGAATTTGGGAGCACTCAACTGCTAAGCTACATCCCCAGCCTTATTTTGTATTTTATTTAAAGACAGGATCTCACTAACTCCTTGCCATTGCTGAGGCTAGCTAGCTTTGAACTCACCATCCTCCTGCCTCATCCTCCTGAGCCACTGGGATTACAGGTGTGTGCCACCGCACCCAGCTCACAAAGCAATTTCTTAGGAGCTCAATTAACTGATTCAGGTCTGATCCATCCCTAGGCAGGGCATTGCAGAGGAGGAAGTGGCTCCTGCTCATGGTGATCAAGATCTAACTATAGAAAACTGCAATGAGAAGATTTGAAAAATTTTTTCTGCCTAGGGTGGAGATTGTGGCCCTTGGATATGAGGACCCAACAAGGAGGGGGAGGAAGGAGGGTTCAGGCTCTCCCCTGGCCAGAAGACAGGTATACTTCTATTTTAAGAAAGGCTTTATATGAAAATTGCAGATTATCAAATAGGTAATTCATCCTAGGATCCCAGAACAAGGGACTTTTTCTCACTGTAGGAATAGCTATTGGGCCCAGCAGGTTGAAGCATGAGCCTCTGACATGCCAGTCTAGATTAGCACTTGGGCTCCTCATCTCCCTATTGTCATCACTCCTCCCATTGCATCCCTGGTTCTCTGATGTGCTCCAAGGAGACCTTCCTACATTTGTCATCCACATCAATATTATGGGCAGATGTGTGCTCAACTTCTCAGAACAGATATGGGGAGTTCTTCAGGAATTTAACTGGAGCAGAGATAGATGCCTAGAACATATAATTTAATAAAACTTCCTTAGGTTTTCAGGGAGCTAGGACCAAAGCATTCTCAGGGAGATATGATAGTTGACCTTGATCATGTCTGAGAAACTTTTAAATGTTTTACATTACTGGCTTCCCTCCCTGCAGTTCATCTTGGCAAGCCAAACAATCACTGAATTGTTTCCGTGGAAACACCAAACTGTAATTTGTATTACAAGAATCAAAATAGAAGCAAGGCAGATTGAAGAATAAATAGGAGCTTTGGAACCTGCAAACTGCAAGTTTAAATTACAGCACAAAGCATATGAGAATCTGGGCCCATCTAAGTCTATGAAGATCCCATGGCCACATCCCACCAGTATGTCAAAGTCACTATAAACCAACTTTATTATAAGCAGATTGATAAAATTCGTAATAAGTAAATACTTAAGGTAGGAGTTCGTCTGTAGAGGCTCCTAGAAAGGAAAAGCTGAAGGGCTGGAGGGGAAGGCTGAGGAAGAAATGACACAACAAGGAAAGAGGACAAGGAACAAGGACAGGAATAAGACAAGAATGAAGTCCAGTAGGGGCAGAGAGAGASAGTTGAGAGGTAGAAACTATAACCTTGACCTCATCCTATCCAAATGGCACATGGATCTGTTCTAGACTCAAAACTCTTGCCAGGTAAGCACCAGGACATTTTAGCATGCCTTTTTCTGTATGCTAGAGAGACAGCACCACTGGGCACTGGAACCTATATTCTCATCTCCGAGTCTCAGGATTCCTCTTGCTCTGCCTCCTACTCCCCTCAGTTGGAGAATGGCCAACCTGCCCTGGCTTGGTGGCATTCTCCTGGACCCTTTCAATCCCAGAGAAGATTCCAAAGGGGTCAGGAGAGCAGACAGTATGGGGGCCTATCCTTTATCTTTGTACCCTGGAATAAACCAATAGAACAGCAACACCATCCTGCTGCCAGTGGACTTGTGAGCCGCTAACATTCCAGAAAGACTGATGAAGARGATTTGCAAAAGGGGCCTAACTCGGGTCAATCTCACCTGAAATGGCTAGGCACCTGTCTGTTGTCAGAATGATACTGCTCTGAGTTACAAGATGCTTAATATGGTAGCAAAAAACAATGAAAGAGTCATGCAAAGAAAGGGATGCTTGGGAAGCCAGTGCACCTGATCATAGATAATTATTGAAAAGGCTGTGTTGTGTCATCCTGAGACCATTTCAGGTTCTGGCAGTTTGCTTTCTCCTTGGAATTGGTGGGAGAACATTAATATTTAGGTTCTAGCTAAATATTTACAGAAGGAACAAAATTTTACTCAGGAAATCTGACAATGGATCCCAACCCTAGTGTGRAAGGACTCTGTCCTAGGCTGTCTGGAAAATGCCTGATTTGATCAAGAATTTTGGCCTAAGGCCTTGTATAAAGAAATTTCAAAACTACCCAAACTTCGTAGGACTCAGTTCACTAATATTTTTGAGGGCAGGGAAGCCATTGTGTTCTGGATATTTGGGTGAGAGAAGTTATGAGGAGACAGAAATGGACATTTTGCAGAAGATCCCTCATCAGGAGCCCTTTAGAAGCTTCCAGAAGCAAACAAGAAACGCTGGGCCTGGTGGTACATGCCTGTAATCCCAGCAACTAGGGAGGCTGAGGCAGAGGATCATGAGTTCAAACAGCCTCAGAAACTTAGCAAGGCCCTAAGCAAATCAATAAGAGCTGGGGATGTGCCTCAATGGTCAAGTGCCCCTGAGTTCAATCCCTGGCACCAAAAACAGACAAAAACACAGAAAAGGGAAACTGCAAACAAATGCTATAGAAAGGCTGTACTTTTCAAGGAACTGTTTGCATAAGTACTTATTAAGTGTGTACTAGTGTCAGGCACTCTCCTGAATACTGGGGACACAGCAGGGACAGGGAAGATACTGCTCTTTTGGAGTTAATATTCTTGTGCAAGGCAAATGAAACACAAATACACAAATTAACACATAATTTCAGATGGCACACTGAGACAAAACAGTGTAATGGGAGGTGAGGAGGGAGGTCATGAACAGCTTTTCTGTAGATGACATTTAAATTGATCCTGGAATGTCAATCAGGTGCTGCAGTTAGYTTCATTTTCATTCTTGGTTGTACATGCAGTTGTAACAGAGGGAGGAGCCTGTGGGAAGCTCTCAGGCTCTGGCCTATAGACCACCCACCTACCACCTCCACCTATGTAGCTAGAAGCATATGAAGAGCCAAAAACGATGCATGCTCCAGGGACATGCCTGGGCTGTGTCACGCTCACCAAGTCTGGCAGGAATCACAGAAGTTAAGAAGAAAAAAAGGCCTTAGGAATAAAATTAAGAAACAGAATATCCTTTCCTGATGATCAGCAAAGACAAACAGTGTAATTTTAATTAACCTAGCTTTGTTAGGATATAAGTTTATTGCTCATCCTACAAAAACACCTAACTTGTGGAACACTGAATCACTCCAAACTTTGACTTCATTACACCAAGTGAAATACTTCTGAAGAAATACAGAGTATCATAACTCATAGCAGAATCAAAGAACAGAGTATCCTTCTTTGGCATTCTCAAGTTAGACCCTTCAAGAAGGCCACTGTTGCTGGGCATGGTGACAGAGGCCTGTAATCCCAGCTACTGCAGAGACTAAGGCAGGATTGCAAATTTGAAGGCCAGTTTTGGCAATTTAGCAAGACAGTCTAAAAAAATACAAAAGGCTGAGGATGTAGCTCAGTAGTAGAGAACACCTGGGTCCAATTTGCAGTACTGGGTGGGGGCAGAAGGACCACAGTCAAAAATACTGATGGTGTTCTCTCATTAGGGTCTCAACTTTGAATTAAAATGACTATATATTAAACTGTTCAATTTAGAGTATAGGGCCCTCTTAACACTAAATAGGCACCTGTAGTCACTCTGGGAATTGATGAAACTTGGTGTGGCTGGACTTCTTCCTCCCATACTTTCTTTGCACTACAATGAAAATCATCAGGGGAGGCAATGGAATCCACAGAGGGCGGGTGAGTAGACAGCCAATGTAGCCCACAAGAAGAGGATGCCAGGGCAGCTTGAGGCAGAACCCATACCTGAACTTCTTGGTCTCAGAAAATTACTGTGATTGACCATGGGTCCCAGTACAGACCACAGGAGGCCCTTGGTCTGAAAATGAGAGTGAGAACAGCTTAGGCTGGTGTCTGACACCCATGCCAAGGGTGTCTGTCACAGGCAAATTCAACTCCTCCAAATTTTTATGGGACACACCTCCCTGAAAATAAAGAATAAAAAATCAAGAATGACTGCTTTCTGAAACAGTCTTTTGGCAACTCAGTCTGCAACCTCGTGGCCCTGGTGTCACTGAGTTAGGGTTAGGGTTTAAGGTGTCATTTACACTGAGGCCACTGAGTTGTATTGGAAATGGACAAATCCTTGAAATTTTTCATCCCATGAGGATTTTCACTTTCTTAGAAAATAGGATAAAAAACCAGTTTGAATGGGGTGTTGTTTATTCAAATCATTTATGAGAGTGAATAAATAAAAATATGGTATCTTGTCAATTTGTTTTCTTAAGTTTTAGAAAAAATTGAACTGGGGGGGTCAGTTCAATAAACTTAATGAAAAAAATACATACTTTTTAAAGGGTTTTTTTTATTACAAAAGAAACACGGAAGAAAATCTTATGTATGTGGCTTAGAACTATAGTGCTCTGAACAGTAGTTTTGTGCATATTACCTCTCTTTCATTGGCAGCCTTAATACTGTTCAGCAGAAGACTGACTTAATGTGTCCTGTATAATATGCCCACTGGTTAAACAATGAAAATTCTAATATAACTAGATCAAGATAGAAAAAAATCCCAAGGTCTGGAAAGGTATTGATCATGTGCAGGCAATATTTTGAAGATGATAAATATGATGTTTGGAAGTCATGTTGCCACAGTACCAGTTTCATGAGAGCCCCTCTGCTACACAATATTCAAGGAAGCTCTCCCCACTTTCACCAAGTACCCTCTCTCCCAATGCCCCCACCACCAGGCTGTTGTTTCATATTATCACCACTGGAGACCACTGTCTCTACATTTCATTCCAATAATTAAGGATGCATTTGTCTGTTATGCCCTTGTCATAGGCAAAATCTGATACCCAGAGAGTTGATCCTACCCCTGCCTCCCACTGAGCCCTTCCTAGCAAGGCCTCTCACCCTATCAACCAGTCAAGAATTCTCCAATTTGTCTTTCTACCTGAGCTCAATAAACCAACTGAAGTCACTGTTGGATGGTCAGAAGTCATCATCACTGCTATCAAAACCCAGGTCATAGAGCAAATTCTTCCCTGTCTCCTTGCATGGAGGAGACTCTGAATTTCCAAGGTTGAGGTCACTGAACCAGCGCATTTGGTGGTCCCCCTGGGAGCTACTGGAATGCAGATCTTTGTTTTGGGAAGAACATTCAGGAAACTTTGAGAGGCTCTCTTGCACTGCTGGTGCTATTTTACTGGACTTGACAGTTCCTCCCAGAACATGGCAGACTGATTTTRTGGAGCTTCTGGGACCCCGCAGATGCAGAGGCTGAGCAAGGGGTTCCTGCTGCTCCGTAGGGGGAATTCGTTCATCAGAAACTGGAGACTGGGGATTCTGATATTTATAATTGAAAATACAGGTCTTACTTGGGGTTTGTTCTCTCTTCCTTGCAAACCTGCCTCTCTGGGTTTTCCTGGTCGGCTGCCTTTTGCATTTCCTCCCTCTTTCTACAGTCCTGCCTTTCTGTTCAGTTTCCAACTGTTCACTAGGGGCACAAGAGAATATGCTTTTTGCTTGATATTCTGGGCAGAGATTCGTAATGCTCATTGCAAAGTTGTGTAAATCCAGGGATATGAGCTGTGAATTTCCTTGGTAAAGCAGGTCACTGTCACCAAGAACTTTATGGCCTGGGATTCTGGAGCCATGGTTCTTGGAATCTGCTTTAGTAATTGCCCAATTTTTGCAATTAGTCTGTACTGACTTGTCCTTTACATGCTCATTTCCTTTACAAGGCCAAAGGGCTGGCAGTGCAACCTCTTTCTGGAGAGCATCACCCTTTGCTCCCTCACCCATGATACCAAATTCCCTAGTCACTAGGGAGCCTGTACTTGGGTTTCCTGCAGCAGTGTGAGCCTGGGCCTGCCACATAACCAGCTCCTCAGAGGCATATTTTTCCTGCCTGGTGAAATTGAGGCTCTGGGTCAGACTTGGTGAAGTCTGAGAAGTGTTGTCTTTCACATGCTCAGGTATCTGAGGCACCAAGATCAATCTCTTCAGTTCTGCTAGGACACTGGGCACATTCAGCTGGTCTAGCTGTTCACACAGTTGCTGGAAGTCCTTACTCTGCTGGGCAACTAAAACTTCCAGGTTCTCCAGGTTGGATTTCATTTCTATAAACTCTGCTTGACTCTGGGGAAAAGCAGTGAGAAAAAGAGAGTGATGGAATATAAGTCAGAGTGCACAATAAAATGTGAGAACAAACCACTGGACAAAGTCATGTCCCTTTCAGGGTTCCTCACAGGGTAAAGATAACTATACTCTGGAACAGGATCCTGGGCCCTACATCCTACCAAGGAACCCTGGGGAAGGAAAATAGCCTATACCCAAGTTCTTTTCTAATAGGCTTGTGCAGACCTCTGGTCTTTGCTGAAATTTCACAACTTTTTTTTTTTTTTTTTTTTTTTTTTTAGTTTTTAGTTGTAGCCACATCCCTAGCCCTATTTTGTATTTTACATAAAAAAATAAATAAAATACCTTTATTTTATTTATTTGTTTTTATGTGGTACTGAGGATTGAACCTAGAGCCTTGTATGTGCTAGGCGAGTACTCTACTGCTGAGCCACAACCCCAGCCCAAAATTTCACAACTTTAAAGGTAATTCTCTGAGTCTTAGTGAAAAGGTTGGGGTTTATACTTACAGTTTCAAATTTCTTCTGTATCTCAAGAATAGCTTGCTCCACATTGCTTTTCTCTTGCACTGCCTCAAATATCAGGTCACTCTGGGACCGTGCAGTATCTTGCACTAAATACAAAAAAATGACAATTCACCACATGATGACTGTGGTATACACCTCCTGCCCACACTGACATGGACTATTGAACCTTCTCTTCTAGCACTCAGGAGACTCTGTTCTAGAACAGAGTGCTTTCTTCACAGCCTCTATTTCCCTCTTTCCCTGAGAAGATTCTAGCCTGGATTGGCATCTATAGAGGACCCTGAGAATCTGATGCCCTTGGGCCCTGTCATGAGAGTGGGTTTTTTTTGTTTGTTTGTTTTGTGGTGCTGGGGATAGAACTCAGAGCACTTGCTCTATCACTGAACTACACCCCCAGCCCAAGAATGATGTTTATAGAATAAACATATTATCCTGCCCCCTCTGACACTGGTTCAATTGCATTCCACTGGCCATTGAACAAAATCCAAATTTTTCTTTATTTTTTTGTGGTACTAAGGATCGAACCCATGGATGCTCTACAACATAACTGCCTCCCCCCCCCCGCCTTTTTTAAAGAGAAGAACTTTTTTTTTTTTAACTTGTAGATGGACACAATACCTTTATTTTATTTTTTTATGTGGTGCTGAGGATCAAACCCAGTGCCTCACACAGGCCAGGCAAATGTTCTACCACTAAGCTACAATCCCAGACCCATAACTGCCCTTTTTATTTTGAGATAGGTTCTAAGTTGCTGAGGCTGGCCTGAAATTTGTAATCCTTCTGCCTCAGCCTCCCAAATTACTGGGATTATAGGCACGTGCCACAGTGCTTGGCAGTTCAGATCTTTAAAATGGCTAACAAGGGCTTACTTCTCCTTCCCCATTTCTTATCTTTGGCCTTCCCTCAGCTTGGAGTATTCCTACTTGTATCTCTGTCACTTCTCTCTTCCCTACAACTACCACCTTAGTCCAACTAATTCCTTTTCTGGTAATAGACAGACTAGTCAAATTTAGGGATGAAATAAGACTTCCCTAAGGTATTTCTATTTTACCTAAAGTATTAAATCATGGAGGAAAGAATGGCACCAACAGTAAAAAAGAGCATGTTCCAAAAGAATTACCAAGAATTCAGCATGACTAAAGCATGGTRAGCATGGGACCAAGTAGCCTGAGTGGAGGCAGGTCACAGCTGGACAGAAGGGTATTTCTGCCATGTCAAGATTTGTGGACTTGATTCTAAGACTGATACCCTGATACAGTTAAGCAAAGAATTGGCATGATTGAATTGTCTCTCTCTCTTTTCGGTACTGGGGATTGAGCTCAGGAGCATTTGACCTCTGAGCCACATCCCCAGCCCTATTTTGTATTTTACTTAGAGACATAAAATACACTTAGCACCTCGCTGTTGCTGAGATTGACTTTGAACTCTCCTGAGCCACTGGGATTACCGGCTTGTGCCACAGCACCAGCTTGCATTTTGCTCTTTAAAAGGAGAACTGTTTCAGTGATTTGAATGATAAACTGCAGGGTGAAAATGCAGAACAGAGATCAGAAATTACTTAAATAAAACCACAATCATGTTAAGAATATTAAAGTGAGGGGGATATAGCTCTGTTGGTAGAGTGCTTGCCTCACATGCAGAGTACTTGCCTAACATCGTCAGCACCACAAAAAAAAAAAAAAAAAAAGAGGGAGAGAGCGAAAGAAAGAATATTAAAGCATACAGCTTTATATTTATATCATAGAAATATGATTGAGTTTAGAAACAATCAGAAGTTTTCCACCCTACCCTGCATCCTGGGACACTTAACTGAGCCACACTTGCAGCCCTTTTTTATTTTTTATTTTGAGACAGGATCTTGTTAAGTTGCTGAGGCTGGCATTGAACCTGCAATACTCCTGCTTAAGCCTCCCGAGCTGCTGAGATTATAGGTATGAGCCACTGCAACTGGCCAGATGTTCTTTTTAATCTTATTCAGGCACATTTCAAACTCTATCAGAAGAGAATAAAGAATTGTAATGGCTATTTCAAAACCCTTCTTTTAGATTTTTCTACTTTGGTAAACACACTGCAAATATTTTCAGTTCACATACATCTAAATGCGTACTAAGTACAATTTATAAATAACCAGGAATAGTACATAATATATTCTTTTTTGTCTGTTCATAACTATCTAAAATGTTTCAGGATTCTTAACAAAATTTTTTCATTTTAGATGACTAAAAAACAATTTGGCAACATTAGAGTTCTTTAACTCATCCCAATAAATGGAAGTACTCAGAAGTACGTAAATCCTGTTTTCTTTCTTTCTTCGTTTCAGTGCTGGGGATAGAACCCTGGGCCTAGTGCATGTGTAGGGTAGTTTTCTACCACTAAGTTACACTCCCAGTGCTAGGCCCTGGGTTTTTTGTGTTTTTTTTTTTTTTTTTTAAGAGAGAGAGAGAGAGAGAGAGAGAATTTTTTTTTTTAAAGAGAGAGAGAGAGAGAGAGAGAGAGAGGGAGAGAGAGAGAGATTTTTTAATATTTATTTTTTAGTCATCGGCTGACACAACATCTTTGTATGTGGTGCTGAGGATCGAACCCGGGCCGCACGCATGCCAGGCGAGCGAGCTACCGCTTGAGCCACATCCCCAGCCCGAGAGAGAATTTTTTAATGTTTATTTTTATTTTTTTAATTTTCGGTGGACACAACATCTTTGTTTTTTTTTTGTATGTGGTGCTGAGGATCAAACCAAGCCGCACGCATGCCAGGCGAGTGCGCTACTGCTTGAGCCACATCCCCAGCCCCTAGAGAGAATTTTTTATTTTTTAGTTTTCGGCGGACACAACATCTTTATTTGTATGTGGTGCTGAGGATCGAACCCAGTGCCGCGTGCATGCCAGGCAAGCACACTACCGCTTGAGCCACATCCCCAGCCCATAGGCCCTGAGTTTTAACTACAATTTTATTTTAGTGTGTGTGTATGTGTGTGTGTGTGTGTGTGTGTGTGTGTTTTACTGGGGATTCCTCTATCACTGAGCTACATTCTCATCCCATTTTTTATTTTGAGACAGGTTCTCACTCAGTTGCTGAGGCTGGCCTCAACTCGTGATCCTCCTGTCTCAGCCTCATGAGCCACAGGGGTTATAGACATGTGTCACCATGCTCAGCTCTAACTACAGTATTCATCTGTCTCTTGTCTCTTTATATCACTTATCAGCAAAGGGCAGGGATTTACCAAACAGTACCTAAATAAAAGTTTGTTTGTTTGTATGATACTGGGATTGAATCCAGAGCCATTTACCACTACATTACTCTTATCGTTACTCACTACATTGCTAGGGCTGGCTTCAAACTGGCAATCCTCATGCCTTCACCTCCTGAGTAGCTGTGATTATAGGTGTGAGATATTAAATAATGTACTATTTTTATCTTGCCATGCTGGAGATTGAATCCAGGTCCTTATGTATGCGATACAATTATCTTACCACTGAGTTCTACCCCCAATAACTAAATTAAAAAATCTTTGAAGTTCTAGTTGACTTACTTCAGAGTTTCTCATTGAAATAAAACATAATTCCCATCATAAAAGTAGGTTTACATTTCAGTTGTTTCATATTAGCATAAATTCTAGTTAGATTAATAATCTTAGTATAATTAAGTAAACTACCAAAAGGCAACAAGGGAAGTTATGTATAACCCTGTAATAGGAAAGGCCTTTCTAACAAAGACATAAAACCCAAAGCCAAGGGGAAAAAAATGAGTTTTGTGTCACTGTTAAGTTTATTCCTAGATACTATTTTCTGTGTTGGTTTTAAAATGGAATTTCCCCACATTATACTTTCTATTAATTTCTTCCACTTTACTAAATTATCTTATGGTATATGGCACTGTTTTGGTTAATTATCAGAATAACAAGGAAAGATTAAAAAAAGAATCAGACATTTCAACAATGAGTCTAGAATTTGATGACAATGAGCAATGTCTTCGAATTCTGAGGTTGAGGCAAGAGGATTGAAAGTTTGAGACCAGCCTAAGCAATTTAGAAACATCCTATCTCAAAATTTAAGAAGTGCTAGAGATGTAGCTCAGTGCTAGAGTGTTTGCCTAGCATGTATGAGGTTCTTGATTCAATTCCCAGTGGCACAGTAAAATAAAAATAATAAAATATAAAATTAAAAAGTAAAATAAAATGGGCTAGCAAAGTGTGGTGACACATGCCTGTAATCCCAGTGACTCAGGAGGCTGAGGCAGGAGGATTATAAGCTCAAGGCCAGGCTCAGCAATTTAGAGAGGCCATAAGCATCTTAGCAATACCCTGTCTCAAAATTAAAAAATAAAAGGGCTGGGGATGTGGCTCAGTGGTTAAGCACACCTGGTTCTTCAATCCCTAGTACCAGGAAAAAAAAAAAAATGGGGACGGGGGTTGGCTAGGGATGAAACTCAGTGGTAGAGTGCTTTTCTAGAATCTAGTATATATGAGGCCCTGCCTGGCTCAATCCCAGTACCACAAATAATAACAACAATATCCCAAATAAACACAAGGAATTCAAATAGTAATAGAAGACATTTCAAACATGCAAGGTATCACGTGTACCTTTTCTCGAAATGCTGCTGGGATATGTGCATCATCAAAGCACAATACCCAGAAAAAAAATGAATTCAAGACTGGAAGTGAAAAAGAAAAATGCAGTACACAGTAGTGCACACCTATAATCTCATCTACTCGGGAAGCTGAGGCAGGAGGATCATAAATTCAAAGCCAGCATGGGCAACTTATCAAGACCCTGTCTCAAAATAAAATAAAAAAGGACTCACTCATTCTTAAGATTATAGCAATGAGAGGCTGGGGTTGTAGCTCAGTGGTAGAGCGCTCGTCTAGCACATGCAAGGCCCTGGGTTTGATCCTCAGATCACATAAAAATAAATAGAATGAAGGCATTGTGTCCAACTACATCTAAAAAATAAATATTAAAAAAAAAAGATTACAGCAGTGAGCCAGGCATGGTGGTGCACACCTATAATCCCAGTGGCTCTGAAGGCAGTGAGACACTGTCTCTAAATAAAATACAAAATAGGGCTGGGAATGTGGCTCAGTGGTTGAGT